TTAAGAAAAGACTTCTGGATTTAACTTTACAATTTGTATGTTTATCTTTGCTTTATGCTGAGTGGAAAAGCAAGATGTGAAAGTTGAGGAACAAATATAAATATATTCCTTATAAGGAAGGGTGGGGCAGCTGAGCCAGGCGGAGGAACCGAGGAAAAGAAGTGCTAACTGGCTGAGGAGTGCTACACTTAGTCTGCCTGTTCGGTGGATTCAGTAGTCCAGTTGGATAATCTGTTGTGTAGTAATGTACCCCCTACTTCACATAATGAGCATGAGAAACCTAAAGTGACATAACATGAGTATGTACTATCTAATACCTCACTTTGTGCTTGTTTATTTGGTGATGTTTTAGAAGACGTTCTCTGTGGCTTGCTTCTCTGGAATTCCCACCTGGCTCAATGGTTGTGGGTACAGGAGACATCTACAGTTAGCATTCATGGACTAATTCTGCAATGATTAGAAGCTCAGTATTAAGGCTTTTCAAGTTATTTAGTATATTGAACTAGCCACTATTAGTAAAAGTATTTTGTAAATAAAGGCCTACTTTAACTTGTACCTTATTGTGAGCCTTTTTTGACTTACTGATTACTGACTAACTTTATCACTTGTAGAATTGCAGAGAGCACTGAATTAGGTAAAAATGATGACTTAAAAGTCATTTTTTGGGTCTGCCTTAAAGTTTCCAAATACTGATTATCTTTTTGAGTCATGGGCTCTATTAAGAATATGAAAAATATGGACCTTCTCCATAGAAAAATGCATATATATAAAATAAATATACACACATGTGTATAAATATTTTGCAAATCATTTTAAGGGGCTTCCAGGGTCTTTCAAAGCCTTTAGGCCTACAGAGTTCAAAAGGATTATCTGGCACTTAGATTTGAGAAGTCCCCTCCTTTTCCTTTCTTTAGGTGAAGGCAGCCTTTACGAGAGCTTACAATAGGGAAGCCCACCTGACTCCGTACTCGCTCCAGGCAGGGAAGGCCCCCAGGCACAGCACCGGCCCAGCGCTGGATCCTGAGCACAGTGAGGAGTTCCTGGAGGATGACTCCCAGTCTGATGAGAAAGAGCAAGACGCGGTGGAAATGGATGCTATGATCAAGGTAGGACTTTAAGCTACAGAGAGCAGCTCTGATACTCCCGCAAACTAGTGTATTTTCTCTTGCATGATTTACCTTCAGAAATTATTCAGGGCCTGCTTAGCAAGTAGCAGAGTAAGCTCTGAAAATACTTCTAAGTTTTTTTGTTCATCACAGTTGAAGGTGGAGAAGGTATAGATTCACTTTTTAAAACATCCTCACCTGAGGATATGTTTATTGATATTTTTGGGGGGTGGGGGGAAAAGAGAGAGAGACATCGATGTGAGAGAAACATTGATTGGTTGCCTCCTGCATGCGCTCGACAGGGGATTGAACCTGAAACCTAGGTATGTGCCTTGGCCAGGAATCAAATCCACAACCTTTTTGCTGTATGGGATGACACTTCAACCAACTGAGCCACCCACTCAGGGCTAGATTTCACTTTTATAAACAGCTTCTAATAATAGTGGAAGAGCCAAAAAGCAAAATATAGGCCATCATATTGATGGTCATATGCTCTGTTAGAAAAAGTAAGATTTTTACTTTTTTGATCATTGGTTTGTGCTTAACCCACACACACAACCAAGAAAATCATTTTCAATGAAACCATTTCTCCCTTCTGTTATTTCTGTTTTGCTATAGCCACTGAATTGCCTATAGAAGTTTTTCAGAGCAAACATCCTTTTGCTGGAATAGGTTAGAATCATTTATGGTATCATCCCACTGTTTGCTATAGCAAAGGAATGTAGTCTGTGTCCTCCTGTATCGTGTGCGTATCCTTCTCGCCCTCTCTGGCTTTGTATGTGCAGCGGTCGGAATAGTGGCCTTCACCAGTGTGGCTCCTCTTCCTGTCTAGTCTTGTGTAGACATAAGAGGTTGTCTCCTCCCTTCTCCTCAAACTGGGCATGTTTAGACTTTGGAATCTGAAACTGAAAGAAAAGTAACTTTTTACCCTGTTTGTAAATTACGTCTTACTTATTTTGTCTTTCCTAAATATATCTATGTTCTAAATCCAAGAAACTGCATTCATGAAGAACATATGTTGGTTCTAGATTTTAAATAGCTTTTTAGTTTTATGGCTATCTTCTAAAGGCTACAAGTAGTTTATTGAAATTAAGCTCATTGGGGGTAGCAGTAGTTAAAGATACATACATATTTGCAACCTTTCTTCTTTACTAATTAAGTTGCAGGTAAAGATTTTTATAGAGATGAACTTACTTCATTTCCTCATAACACAGTTATTAATTATTTTCTGCATCTTTCCCTCCCAACAGAAAAAGACAAAATCTTCAAAGCCTTCAAAATCAGAAAAAGATAAGGAGTCCAGAAAAGGAAAAGGAAAAGGTTCAAAGAAATGAAACTGTTTTTTACTACTGACAGTCACTTTTTACTCACCCTGTTGACCAGTCTAGCTGGTCTAGAGGATGCCTTATTTTTTCCAAAGGAACCATAATAGGGCGACTGAGTGGTCCCATTATCAGTGAATGGTGGTACAGCTAGCAGGATGCAACCGGTAGGCTGATGTACACCTCTTATAGAGGTTGATAGGACTGTGTGGGTCCTCCACTGTCCCCTGTCCATCTAATTCGATTGTGCTTCAAAATGACTGTGTATAATCAGAATTAGAAACTACATGTGGGCTTTGGAATTAGATTTTATTTAACAATAATATGCCTGAGAACAGTGGTACTAAGGCAGCTTTTGTAAGCTTAACAATTTATTCTAATGTCCTGAACTTTTTTTAAAGATAGTTACTATTATGTGGTGAAATTTTGTAAATAAATCATAATACAAAATAGTCACCACCTAGAACTGGGTATTCTTTTTGTACATTGTCAAGTATCTTGCAGAATGTAAATTAGGAATAAAAATGTCCCATATGGTACATGTATAAATTCTTAAGCCTATCATCTTGTATAGTAAAATACTATGTTGGTATATGACTTTCCTTACTAATTTGCAAATGATTGGATAAAAGAAGTTAATTTTACTACTAACCCGTTATGTGAAACAACTTTGGCAATTGAAGAGTTAGCACTCTGATTTCCAACTTCATTACGGCTGTGAATGCTGTGACTAGAATTTCATGGCGATGCCTTTTAGTTATTACTAGAGGGTGTGGCTGCAAAATGATGGCTGGTCATTCCTATCCTTCCTGAGTCTCAACCCATCAGTAAGTCTCAGGCTTACTCTGGCGTGGGACAAAGTGAACACTGGCTTTGGTTTACTTTGTCCCTGGGAGATGGTTCTATTCAGTGATGGAGCCCACAAACCCTACTGGAACTTTGGGTTGTCACTGTCCTTGCTGAGTGGCCCCGAGGCTGTGGAACTGGCCTGGAGTTTAGGTGTCCAGCTGCTTTTAATCTTGTCAGTGAATGCTAAGAGGTATGTGAGGAAAGGAATGTAAAATCAGGATCAGGAGACTGATTCCTGTTTCTAAGGAATGGAGAGTCTTGTTTGGACGGTTAGACATACATTGAAAGTGTATTTACCATGTGAAAAATGTCTTTCGTGGAGATTAAGTTCATTATGGGAACAAAACATTGCCTATTGAACCGCGCCCCTCTCTGTTCAAGCCTGGCTTGAAACTTCTGCCTCAGTGAAAATTCCCTTGATTGACGACTGCCTCCCCTAACCAGGTGGCTGAGCTTGAGTTTCTTACACATGCTTTCTATTTCTGCTGCTTTTGGATATGCAGGTCATATCTGCCTAAGTACTCTGTGCTCCCCAGCAAAGGGACTAATATCCTTGCAGTCAGAACAACGAACAGTGTCCTTTACTTGCTCATGACTTTAATTATAAATGCTCTACCCATGATTGGCATAATTTTTGTAGTAAGATGAATAACTTTGCTTTTAGAATTAGAGATTATAAATGTGCTTTTTAAAATATGAGAATGACAAGATGTTTGACTCCTGGCTGAAGCCCTCACGACTCTGAGGTGTGTGGCCGAGGTGAATGCAAGGTAGGAGCTGGGTTCCACAGCAGTATGAATGTGAATCTAAGGGGTCTGTATCCTTATTGGAGCCAGTAGAGGCCACACTTTATCTTTGCAGCATAAAACGGCGTACTTGCTTTTTTTGGAGATGCATTGGATGGATGTTGGCCATTTTGTTATCTATAACAAACTACTATATCCCCCATCTTTTTAAATCTGGCAGTTCATGAATAAGGAGTGTCTTCCTAAGTGAGTTCTGGTACAATTATGCACATGAATGAGTGTCTAAGGCCTGAAACTCCCAGAATATAATGTACTTCACCTCACAGATCCCAAGTGCCAGCGGCTCTTATTCCTATACTCTTATACTACCCCCATAGTGGGTGGGTTTATTGGTAATGACTTGTGTTGTAGCACTTAGGGGGGGAAGAAAAGGTCATAGAGCTGGAGGCATCATGCATGTGGATACTTGGATTGTCCCCTAGGCTTGCAGGCACCTCTAGTGCTCAGAATGCTGGTAGCCATACTGCAAAGACATCATCTGACACATTCGAAGTTAGGCCACACTACTCATTTCTGTTAGCTGCTTAGCCTGTGGTTACATTGGCTTTGGATGGCAAGGAAGCTTGTCGGAAGAGTATGGTGTGTGATATGGGGAAGGAATGCTCTAAGCACCTTGGGGAAGACGCTGAATAATTTTGTCTTCAGGGGAAATCAAATGATTTAATTTTTGTGACAAGAATTCCATAGTACACAGTGTAACAACTCAGGACTATATATATAATGACTATAAGCTTCTAGTTTCATTCTCTCAAATATTTGATTTTAGTGGTTTTGGGTGTTTTTATTTCAGGGCTAAATAGTCTTGATTTGTGTAAACTTCTTATTTCAAACTTTTAACAGTGTTAAGATCTGAGCTGCACAATGTACTTTAAGCTGCCTTCTTTTGTCTCCAAATCCAGAGAAACATTACAAATATCTAGTTAGCAATTTTATTTTAAAGGACATACTTCAAAAAAGCTGAATATTTACAATTATGTCATAGGTGACTATTAACAATGCAGAACATATAATCTGTAAGACTCTGAAGAGGAAATATACGAAGTGAAATAAACAGCAGTGTTATATGTTACTGTTTTGTCACTCTGTAGAAGTTGAAAGGGGCAACCTGGAAAGGTCACCTTGGTTTTTGTCTTCTGTGCCCGGGAAGGTCCATCAAGGGCATAAACACAGCCTCCTAGGAAAATGCTGTCTTCCCAGGAACATATCTAGAAAGCACAACAAACACAGCCACGTGCCTTTAGAAGGGTTTCAGGAAACTGGCATTTAGTGATAAAGCCACGTACACTGAAGTTTTCTTGCTTGCTTATGGACTGTGGAGCAGGATCTCTACATTCCCACGTTAGAAATCTTCAGTCTGTCATCAGCATTGTGTTTCAGTTGTGGCCTTGCAACTGTCTAAAAAGGTGTGAGGAACCCTCGTGCACTGCTGGTGGGAATGCAGACTGGTGCAGCCACTGTGGAGAACAGTATGGAGTTTCCTCAAAAAACTAAAAATGGAACTCCCATTGGACCCAGGGATCCCACTTCTAGGAATATATCCCAAGAAACCAGAAACACCAATCAGAAAAGATATATGCATCCCTATGTTCATAGCAGCACAATTTATTATAGCTAAGATTTGGAAACAGCCTAAGTACCCATCAGCAGATGAGTGGATTAAAAAATTGTACATCTACACAATGGAATAATATGCTGCTGTAAAAAAAGAACACTATCATTTGCAACAGCATGGATGGACCTGGAGAGCATTGTGTTAAGTGAAATAAGCCAGTTGGAGAAAGATAAATATCACATGATCTCATTTGTGGAATATAATGGACAACTTAAAATGATTAAAATAGATCCACAGACAAGCATGGAACAACTGTTGAGTTTGGGGGGGAGGGGGGAGGGGGTAAGAGATCAACCAAAGGACTTGTATGTATGCATATAAGCATAACCAAAGGACACAGTAGGGAGGCAGCTGGGGAGAGGTCAATGGCGAAAAAAAGGAGACATATGTAATACTTTCAACAATAAAGAATTTAAATTAAAAAATAAAAGATTAAAATCTAGGAAGACCCCCCCCCCCGCCCCCCCGCAAAGGAAAAAAAAAACCCCAAACTCCAAACCCCAAAACAAAACAAAATGGTGTGGACAAGCTGTTGAACCTCTGATGGACCATCTTACTGGGAAGAATGAGAAAAACTTCTGAAATGAAATGGTTGTTAAGAATTCCTTATCTAAAAGGAGTCAGTGAACAATAGCTTCAACCAGTACTCAGCCTATACAATAAAAGCCTAATATGCTAAGTCTCTGACGGTTTGCTATGAGGCACACTGACCACCAGGGGGCAGATGCTCTGACCTGTAGATTAGCTTGCTGCTGGGGTCCGGCGAATTGGGGCTGGGTGAGATGGGCTGGACATGCCCTCCTGTGGTCCCTCCCCAGCCCCGATGTGCACTGGTGGGGTCCCTTGGCCTGGCCTACGTCCTCTTGCAATCTGGGACCCCTCAGGGTATGTTGGAGAGCCGGTTTCGACCCGATCCCTGCAGGCCAGGCCAAGGGGCCCCACCAGTGCACAAATCTGTGCACTGGGCCCTCTAGTTGTATAATAAAATATTTATAGTGACTTTTGCAAAAGGTCATGCATAATCATGCACTGAGCATATCTGTGAGTAGCAGTGATACCACAGTCTAAGACTCTACAGAGGATTATTAAAGACAGTGTTCTACTTTGGGAAGTGGCAGAGTTGCAAATGAATCCTTCCACAGGTAACACTATGTTTTATCTTCAGTTTATAACGAACTAGAGCAATCACTGTTTGATTCCTGATCAGGGCACATGCCCCGACTTGATTCTTGGTGAGGGGCTTGCAGAAGGCAGCTGATCAATAATTCTCTCTCATCATTGATGTTTCTATCTCCCTCTCCCTCTTTGAAATAAATTTGAAGGGGAAAAAAAATTCTGCCAACAAACAGGTTGGATGAAGACTGAACCTCAGGTGAGATTACAGCTCTAACCAACAGTAGCCTTGTGAGGCCTTGACCAGACCACCAGCTAAACCATGCTTCCACTCCTGACCCACAGATGGCAACACAGGGGGCTTTTGAACTACTTTCTCCTACAGGCACAGCAAATCTACAGTGACATACTGAATAGTTCCCTCTGAGTGAAATCCAGGATCTAGCCAAGTGACACTTACACAGCAAGTGAATGAGAAAACCCACATTGAAATGAGAGACAGAATCTTGCTATAAACCCCACAACTTCCAGCTTCGTCCTGAGGAATGAACGGTTTGGAGTCCACAGCTGGCATCCTGCATTTTAAGACTCTCACCTAAGAGACCCCCAAAACATCTAGCTTTGAAAGCCAATGGGCCCTGAATCCACAAGACCTACAACTAAGGAATAGTTCCAAATGGGATTGCATGAACCCATGTGGCCAGCACAGGCAGCAGACTGAAATGCATCCAGTCTTTCTGTGAAAGAGGTCTATTTGCTTATCTTGAGAGCTACAGCCCAAGAGCAGGCTTGGAGTGTAACATATATCTGGGGCAAGTACAGTACTCCCCAGAGACTTGCAGGCATCATCTTCGTACTCTCCCTCTGCCCCGACTATGGTCTCTGGTGTCTCCCAGAAAGGACCTTGGGTACAAATTTAGTGCTCTGGTGTTCGCTGCTGCTTTCCAAGGGACACCATTTAATTGCAGAGCTTACTTTCACAGGTCCCTAGGACTGTTCCAGGGATTGTTTTTAACCTGCCACCGAGGCTCAACACAGGCAGCTGATAGAAATGCTTAACCTTTCCAGAAGGAGGCCCATTTGCTTATCTTAATAGCTGTGGGCTTTCACTCAGCCTGAATCGAGGTGCTGACTGAGATCCTCCCATTTGGAACACATATCTTGGCATTCCCTCAACCACTGGGGCCATAAGAACTAAGAAGGCTATTTGGACAAACACAAAGGTTTGAGAGATAACCAAGAGTTAGGGCAGGTTGAATAAGGTTCATTCCCCACACAAAAGCACTCCATGACTGGGAGAGGTGGCTTTTTTATCTAAAGCATAGACACCAACAAGGAATATGTTAAATGAAAGGACAAGATAAAACCTCAGAAAAGTAGCTTAACAAAATGGAGATAAGTAATTTACCTGGTAAAAACTCCTAATTAATGGCCATAAAGATGCTCATCAAAGTCAGGAGAACAATGCATGGACCAAGAGAATTTCAACAAGGAGACAGAAAATATAAGAAAGTACCACACAAATCAGAGCTAGAGATATAATAACTGACCTGAAAAATACAATAGACAGGCTCCGTAGCAGACTAGATGCAGAAAAAAGGACCAGCAAACTAAGGCAGGGCAGCAGAACGCATCCAGTCAAAGCAACAACAGAAAAAAGGTAACACTAAGCAGACCAACATGTGCATTACAGGAGGACCCAGAGGAGATGGGAGAGAGAAAGGGGCATAGAACTTCTCTGAAGAAATAATGGCTAAAAGCTTCCCTAACCTGGAGAAGGGAACAGAGACATCCAGATCCGGGAAGAGTTCCAATAAGAGTAACTGAAAGAGGCCCACACCAAGACATGTTACAATTAAACTGCCAAAAGTTAAAAAAAAGGAGAGGATCTTAAAAGCAAAAGGAAAGCAACTTGTTAAATAAAAGGAATTCCACATAAGACTTTGCAGATATTTCAGCAGAAACTTTGCAGGCTGGAAAGTGACATGATATATTTAAAGTGCTGAAAGGGAAAAAATAACTGCCAACAAAGAATTATCTACCTGGAAATGCTGTCCTTCAGAATCGAAGGAAAAAAGAGTTTTCCAGACAAGGAAAAGCTAAAGAAAGGAGTTCACCACCATTAGACCAACCTTACAAGAAATTTTAGGACTTCTTTAAGTAGAAATGACAGGGAGCTAATTAATAAAGGAAACCATGAGAGTAAATTTCATTGGTAAAGGTAAATACATAAATTCAGAATAACCTAATGTAATATTGGTGGGTTAATCACATAAATCTATGAAGGTTAAAAGACAAAAGTAGTAAAAATATTTAACTACAATGATGTCTTAAAAGCTATACCACAAGATGAAAAGATGCAAATTATAAAAGAGAAAGAACTCATGGACAAACAGTGTGGGGATTGCAGGGGCGGGGGGGGGGTGGGGAATGGGTAGAGGTGGAAGAGGGTTTAGGAGGGATAAATGGTGATGGGAAATACAGTAAACTGATGACTTAACGGACAAAATTTCTGGTCTGTATGTCATGTGAAAATTAACACCCTGTTAATTTTGAAATGCTTTTAACTAAGAGTTGCTTATAATTAAATTAACAGGTTTTTTTTTTGTTTTTTTGTTATTTGCTGTTATTTTTAACAAATTTTAGTGAATAGGCCATATGTTGGAAAAAACACCAGTAATTTTGCCTACATAAATAAATATTACATATCTGCTACTACAGTCTACATTTAAATCCAAGAGTCACTGCTCGCAAATGATGTTCAGCGAATGATTCGCGCATGATCACACTGCATTGTGCGCAGTAATCGGCTCTGTTGTCCCATTGTGACTTTCTGCAGCACTTTTAATGTGAGCCAGCTGATGTTCAACATGCGCTATTGCGTTCACATTGAGAAAAAAACCGTGTGCATTTATTTATACACAGTGACTGGTGTAGGCACACATTTACTAGACCTATTTAGTATAAATTTAAAGTTATAGTCATATATGTAGGAAACTTTTTTGTGAAATTAAACTTTTCATACATTCTTAATTTTTATTACACAAATGTGTCCACACAAGTGAAAATAGGTGAAGTAACTAATTTGCCAATTTTTAACACATTCGGAAAACTTTATTATACAACAGACTTTCGGCTCTAATGGACAGCCCCTTGCCCAAATTAGTCCTCATTATATCGAGGTTTTACTGTAAAGAAAAAAAAAAATAGAATGTGTGTGGGTGGGTGGAGAGAGTAAAAATGTAGAGCTTTAGAATGCATTTGAACTTAAGTTCTCATTAACTTTAAATAGACTTATATGATGTTTCATGTAAGCCTCATGGTATCCACAAAGCAAAATCCTATAGTAGAAAACACAAAAGATAGAGAAAGAATTCTAAGGCTGCCACTACAAAAAATCAGATTACAGAGGGAGAGTGCAAGAGAACAAAGGCGCAAAGCATTGACAAAACAGCCAGAAAACAATTAGGAAAATAGCAGTAAGTCCATACCTAGTGATTACTTTAAATGGACTAAATTCTCTGATCAAAAGACAGAGTGGCTGGCTGTACAATTGGAAAAGTCACAAATATGACTCAACAGCCTGCCACTGAACAAACTGGGTCAAAAGAAGAAAAAAAGCCAAACGATAAATAAGAATATACCTTGAGATAAATGAAAAAGGAACTACAACATATCAGAACTTACGATATATAGAAAAAGCAGTTCTAAAGGGAAGATCTGTGCTAAATGCTTACAGTTAGAAACAAAATCTCAAACGACCCAACCTCACAGCTCCAGGAACTAGAGAAAGAAGAAAAAGCTATGCTGAAAGGTAGTGGAAGGAAATAATGGTCAGAGCAGGAATAATGAGACTAAAAAAGATCAATGAAATCAAGAGCTGCTTTTTTCAAGACAAAATACCCTTAGCCAGACTCACCAAGAAAAAGAGCACTCAATCAGAAGTGAAAGAGAGACTACAACTGATACCACAGAAATGCAAAAAAAGATCGCAAGAGACTACTATGAACAATTACATACCAACAAATTAGAATTAGAAGAAATTAATTCTAGAAACAACCTACTGAGACCGAGGCATGAAAAAGTAGAAAATCTGACTAGACCAATTACTACTAAAGAGAGTGAATCGGTAATTGAAAACCTCCTGACAAACACTTAGTGATACCTTATGGCCCAGTTGGAATCCATGAGGCGGCTTGCTCCAACAATCTTTGTTACTGTGGAGACTACAGCCTGCATGTTAGCATTAAGAAAACGAATCAGAGGTTTTGTTGTGCTCAAATCTGACAAACGACATGAGTCACAAAAAGGAGCCAATGGGAATACAAACTACAGCTGTGGACTCTGCCCAGGAAGGGGAGGTGCCTGGCACTGACCTGCACATGCCACTCACGGCTCCACCTCTGTCTGCAGGTACTGGGTGCAGTCCGAGAGCTTTTCCAGTTGAGCAAAGTTCAATCTTTCTGAACACATGGGACATGTGCTTTCCGTGTTCAGTATGCTGTGTAGAGATGAAAGGCAGAATAGATTAAATATATTTCTTTTCCTTTGGGTTATTCTGTGAAAAAAAACGACTATTCCTATCCACATCTCTTAGTATATGTTCATTATGCAATTTAAGAATTAGAGAAATTATATATTTATGAGAGGCCCAGTGCACGAATTCTTGCATGGGTGAGGTCTGGCCAGCTCACCCCGATTGGGACTGATTGGGCCAGGCTGGCCGGGGGAGGGGCTGTGGGCAGTTGGCCAGCCAGCCCTGCCCCCTGGTCAAACTCCTGGCCAAACTCCCGGTCAAGGGGACAATTTGCATATTAGGCTTTTATTATATAGGATATGCACAGCCCATAGATACAAGCAACAGGGCAGTGAAGTCCTGGGGGGTGGGGGGGGTGGGGGCTGGGAGGAAGGGGAAAGGGGGAGGGAATGGGAGATATCTGTAATACTATCAACAATAAAAATATATTAAAAAAAAAAGAATATTCAGTGTCATGCAAGATCCCCTTTAAGGATAATGTTTTCAAAGGTCAGTAGTTCTTCTAAGAAGACAGTTTGAATCTTTAGAGATCTTTAGGAACATGAACAAATAAGGAGGTTTCAGATCTAGAGTGGCCGAGTGACAGGCCTATTTCTGGACAAACCCGAGAGCTAGTGAAACGATGCACACTTACATCTTAAATTCTGAGTACAGAGCAGGGAAGTCGCAATGTGGACACACTGTCCAATCATCCCTCAGCATATGTCGACCCTAAAACAGTGCATTTAAGAGTAAAATTCATCTTCAGTTTTAAAGCTCCACCATTATTCAATTATAATAATTGGATTGCAGTTAAAGCTAGCACTCTAAATTAGGAAATTATTGATAATTCACACAGGTGGAAACTGACTAGAAAGAGATGGCATCAAAAGGACTAAAGCCAGGTTTTATGTGTCAGACTTGTGTGTAGAAGAAGTCTTCAGTTTTGAGAAACATTATCTAAGTTGCAAGGTAAACCAAATTGCAGGTTACAGAGCCGAGAAGTGGCGGAAAAAGGATGTAGGCGCAGGCCCATCTGATCCCTCATGTGTGCTGCACTGCCCCCCAGTGCCTTCTAGATATTCACTTAAACAATTATATGCTTTGTGGTTGTTTTTTAAAATTACCATATCCTTTGAATATAACTTCCAGCTTTGTTGACCATAAAATTATATGCTAAAAATTGCAGGAAATCTGAGGGACTGCAATTTCAGAAGTGAAAAATCTGTTGATACATCACATATTCAAATGGATTATAAATAGACATGCAAAGAAAGGGAAATTATTATAAAGAAGCTTACTGTTGCAATGCAATATGGGATGTTGTTTTTACAACCAGGACAGAGGAGTTCACATTCTGGGAGAAGAAATTTACAAAACGGACATGGGGTAGTGACCTCTTCTGTCTCGGAGGTATCTGGTCTCCTGTGAGGAAGAATCACGTGTCATTTAAAAACACTTCATTTTCCATGTGATATGGACGGCAGAGAAAAGGCGTATTTGGAAAACTAGGAACGTGACACATACCTACTTCCTCCCAGACTCTGAGGCCCACACTGTAGCACAGGGAGGAGGAGGAGGGTTGGGAGTGGTCAGGTTGTAGCATTACGTGGGCCATTCTGGGAGTGGAGTTGAGGGCACGTTAAATGGCAGAGAACATGGGTGGGTTTGCTGTCCTCTTCCTTTGTCACTGGCGTGGTGAGCTTGCTACCCCTTCTGTCCAGCAAAACTGACAGTGGCAATGTCTCCTGTGCTGCCCCACACGAGCGCCAAGCTCTTGAAATGTGGGTAGTGTGGCGAACTAAGTTCTAAGTTTAGTTTAAATTTAGTGACCTGTGGCTGCCAGGAACCGCACTGGACCACACAGCTACAGAGCACCCTTGCATGGGGGAATAGCCTCTGTTCGAAGGAGCGCCTAGGACAGCAGGGTGCTGGGCTGCGGGGATACGTGTGCTCTAGCATGGCCTCCCTCCTCGCTCCGTGCTGGCAGGCAGGCTGGGGTGGTCTGATTTGGTGTGAAGCTGCTGAGGGCTTATCACCTTTTAAAGGGCGTGTTCATGTGGCCCTAAGCTTAGAGTTCTCTGCCAGCTAACAAGAGGGAACTGCTTCCAGCTGCCATCGTTGCAGTGCAGGTGCGGTGGTCAACATTCAGGTACACTGGGTGCTGGTCATAATGGACCTAACGGATACCCCAGTGTCATCTCTACTTTGAACAAGTGTAGCGTGGAATCGCTATGTGGTTGGAACGACTCTTTCCTTCTGTAAACACTAGTGCTTTTTCCTCTGGGGAACCAGGCCGCTGCAGCTTTGCGAAGCTGTGCTTAGGTGCCTGGGGGCCTCCACAGGGTGTGGTGTGGAGGTGCATTCTTCTGGCAATAGGGTGTGTAATTACCAGGTTTCTTACACTGAGAAGTGTTTACTCTTTGCCCCTCTGGGCAGACACTGAGGCCTCCAGACAGCCCCCTCCTCGCCAGCCCTGTTGCTTTTCCTCAGCAGGATGCTTTGCAGCGAGAGGTAGGGTACTGGCCAGCGATATGTGAATGGATTCCTGGGGGTGGGTCCTTTCTAAAAGGCAAAGACCTCGCCACCTTTTATTTTCCCTCTGCTTCCTGCCTTGAATGGGGCTGTGATGTTGAGTGGTGGCAGACAGCCACGTGGAGGGACTCTACGCTCCGGACAGCAAAGCTGGACGACAAAGGGACCGGAACCCAGCAGCACCAGCCCTGGGCTCCAACGCCTCGTACGTGAGTCAAATCCCGACTTGTTCAGCCACGTGGGGTTTCTGCTGCTGGTGGCTGAGTGCGGTCCTAACTGCCCCCCACCCCACCCCCTCATGCAGTTCCTGCTGCCACCAGCAGCTGCATCCTGAAAGAGGCGCCTGTGAAGCAGGACAGACAGTGGGCGCCGCCGCCGCGTACCTGACCATGGCCTCAATCTTCTTCTTGTATTTGGCATCGATTTTGTTGCGGTGCTCGGGTCTCATCAGCATGGCGGCGAATCGGAACGCCGAGTGCTTCAGGCCCGCTCGGTGACACTCGATGACCGTGGACGTCAGGATCGGCACCACATCTGCAATACGAACGGGGAGAAAGCAGTGTCCCTGAAGCGGGAGGAAGGCTGGGCCACACCTCTGAATCTGCCTTTCCTGGCAGAGAACGGAGACGTGTTTAACGAGGGGCAGCCAGGCTAACTGCTCATCGACTGTCTCCCCGGATGGTGCCGCTCTGCCTTGTCACCCAGGGCCTGCACTCCCTGGGGTCACGTGTGTCCTTACACTCCGCGGACACACTCGCGTTTGACAGGACTGCTGGTGAATGTAGGAGAGATCAGTCCTTTTATGCACTAACCTCTGCATGCACCTATTTCTTCAGGACAGATGCCCAGACGTCGGATTACTGGCTCAAAGAACATGACCTTTTAAAAAAAACTCTTGGCACAAACTGCTTTCCAGAAAGGCCATGCCAGTATCCACCCAGCAGCAGTTACAAGTGCCTGAACTACGGCGGCCTTTGCCAACTTGGTATATAATTTTTCATGTAACAAAAAAGAACACATTTAGAGAATAGGTGTTGGTGAATTACGGCCTGTGAGCTAAGAATGGCTTTTACATTTTTAAGTGGTTGGAAAAAAAATCAAAAGAATATTTTGTGAAATTTAAAATATTTTGTGAAAAATATGAGATTCAAATTTCAGTGTCCAAATAAAAGTAAAGCTCTGTTGGAACACAGCCATGCTCACAGCCATGCTCATTTGTTTATGTATGTTTCAAGCCGAATAGCAGCTGGGTATTGTGACACACCATGTGTCTCCAAGGCCCCAAACATTTGACATCTGACCCTGTTCAGAAAAAGCTTGTTGACCCCATCACAAAAGGGGACAGAATCTCTTCCCTGAAGAGCGTACCGACATGTCCTTTAGAAAGGGGCCTTTCTCAGAGGGAAGGGCCAACAGACTTAGTTGACTGACAGTGACCTTGGGCAAGTGTTAGTTCACTTCTTTTGCCCCCGTTTGCTTATCTATAAAACAGGGGTAATAGTACCCATGTGTGTAGTCTTGAGACTGTTGTCATTTGAAAGACCTGCGTGAAAGGCTGGCCCTGGCTGGCATCTGGGAACTGGGGTTTTGGAGGAGTTCCTGCTGTTTCCAGAACTGATCGAGTGGCTCCCTGTGCCTGAACTCTTCATACAAGCAGTGGTTTATGCCGAAGACGGTGTCTGGGAGTCTGGAAATTTGGTACGTGCTAAGCAGGGGGTACCTGGGCATCACGTGTCACACAGCGCACTCCAGGAGGAGCTACACGTGGCCCACCTGGAGGGGCTCCTGGAAGCTGGCCGCTGTTCCCCAGACGCGGCCAAGCGCCTTTTCCCTTTGCATCTTCTTGCTGTGATAAACCCTAGGCCAGGGCTGGGCAAACTTTTTGACTCGAGGGCCACAATGGGTTCTTAAACTGGACCGAGGGCCGGAACAAAAGCATGGATGGAGTGTGTGTGTGAACTAATATAAATTCAAAGTAAACATCATTACATAAAAGGGTACGGTCTTTTTTTTTTTAGTTTTATTCATTTCAAACGGGCCGGATCCGGCCCGCGGGCCGTAGTTTGCCCACGGCTGCCCTAGGCTGTAGCACCCCTCTATGTTGAATTACCAACTTGTCATATGGCCTTATGGGGTTGTGAGGACTAGTGGGTTAACACATGCAGAGACCAGTGGCTGGCAGCGTCGGAGAGTGGAGGTCTTACAGTGTCATAGGAAGGCAGACGTGTGGCTCACAGGCTCTTCTCAGTACTTACGTGACGGAAATTTGCTAATGTTCTTGGCCACTCGAATAAGCAAACGTGCCCCTTTCATATGATCTCCTTTTTTAACATGAATCTGAAATAAATGACATATTGAACTCCTTTTAGAGACTTTGATTAGCCCTAATTCATGCTGTTCCTCCAAATACACAATCCTTGATTGTGACCCTGAACAGAGCCAGGAGATCCTTGCAGACGTACCTGGCGAATGCCACTGGGACTCCCACTCCTCCAGCAGCGGCTCCGGCCCCGCGGCCTCCCCAGCTCACCCCTCCTCTACACTGTGTGCTCTAGACCACCTGACGTGAGTTCGAAGCCCGGACCCAGCTCGTACTGGCCGGTATTCAGGGACTAATAATGCCAACGTTACCAGGCTGTTGTGAGACCTGGAGGCTGTGTAGGTGATGCAGGAAGAGGCGCTGAGTTGTTAAAGGGGGGCCCTGGCTGTCCTAAGGCAACGATGGCCGGAGGGGCCGAGATCAGGCAAGTACCCGTGGGGTCTGCGATGCCGGGAGGGTGCACTGAGGGTGATGAGCTGGAGAACTGACAGGCCCCCCGGCGTCACTGCTGTCGTTGGGTGAGAGGTTACCCACAAAGGTGGGCAGTGGGGTGGGGGCAGTGGACAGACGGAGTCAGAACTGATGATGTCTGGTCAGAATGTGAAGGGTGAGCATAGTGCGACTCAGGCATCGGGTCTGAGCGAACGGTGTATAATTTACTGAGCGCTGCAATGTCATCACACACACGCCCTGCAGCAGGGACGGGGAGCCCTGGCCGCTGGTCCTCCCTGACCCCTGCTGACTCTGTGGGCCTCACTGCCCAGCTCAGCTGCCCACACCCAGAGGTCCAGGCTGTCCTTCAGCCAAACCCCGGTCCCAGCTCTGGGGAGGAAGTGTCTGCCAGAGCTGAGGCCCCATTTCCCCTGAAATGTGGACGACTCCTCAGTCCTTTGGGTCAAAGATGCCTGACATTTTCACATCAATTTGTTCTTACTTAATAGGTCTGTTCGTTTCCTTTTTAATATCACAAGCAGTTAAAAGTCCTAGCAAACCGTGAAAGTGTTCGGTGCTTGCATAAGTGACCAGAGCAGAGGGTGCTCTTCAGTGGGAGGGCAGGAGGGGACAGGCCAGCTCTTGGGGCCAGAGGGAAAGTAAAAGGTTTGAGCACCATCTCGATGGCTGTGATGGTGAAGCGCTGGTCCTACAGGGTTTCTTACAGGAATCACTAGGTTTTTTTTGTGTGTGGTGGTTGTTGGTGGTGGTGGGTGGTGGTGGTGGTGGTTGATGTGGTTGGTGGTGGTGGTGGTTGGTGGTGGTGGTGGTTGATGTGGTTGGTGGTGGTGGTGGTGGTGGGTGGTGGTGGTGGTTGATGTGGTGGTTGTTGGTGGTGGTGGTTGTTGGTGGTTGTTGGTGTGGGTGGTGGGTGGTGGTGGTGGTGGGTGGTGGTGGGTGGTGGTGGTGATGGTGTGGGTGGTGGTTGTTGGTGGTGGTGGTTGTTGGTGGTGGTGTGGATGGTGGTTGGTGGTGGTGGTGGGTGGTGGTGGGTGGTGGTGGTGGTTGGTGGTGGGTGGTGGTGGTGGTGGTGGTGGTTGATGTGGTGGTGGTTGGTGGTGGTGGTGGTTGGTGGTGGTGGTTGGTGGTGGTGTGGGTGGTGGTGGTTGGTGGTGGGTGGTGGTGGTGGTGGGTGGTTGATGTGGTGGTGGTGGTTGGTGGTGGTTGTTTGTGGTGGTTGTTGGTGGGTTGGTGGTGGTGGTGTGGGTGGTGATGGTGGGTGGTGGTGGTTGGTGGTGGTTGTTGGTGGTGGTGGTAGGAATCCCTATTTTTGCTTCTATCTTCCACCGACTTGTTTCTATCCTCCCCGCTTGACCTCTAAAGTCTCCCATTTTGCTGGACCATGTGCTCCTAGGACCCTGGTGGCACCGCTCCTGTCTGAAGCTGAGAACGGTCTCCCGCCCCTTTCTGCTCCTTTCTGTGTGAGAGACGGGTCCTCCTGTTGCTCTGAAGGGAAATGCACTCCTGGGGTGGCCAGTGGGAGTTCAGAATGTTCCCTTAAAATCAGTGGTATGGATCTGTGAGGTCTGATATGGAAGCCACTCGCCACATGTGGCTATTTAAGATTAAAAATTAAAATTACATAAAATTAAAAAATGGTGTTTATCAGGTGCACTCGCTGTAGCCCGTGCTCTGCAGCCAGGCCAGGGGCCGCCACGCAGGCAGATGGAGCATCGCCCTCCAGCACAGCGGGACGTCCTGCTGGACAGGGCCCCGGAGAGGACACCTACAGCCCAAGTCACTCGTTAAATGGCTGCTCCGTGCTGGGTGCCTCCACGTCAAACAAACGTCAAACAAGCTCTTGTGCCCTGGCCTGACAGCCTCGTTAGCATTAGTGGGGGAAGGTGTACTTTGACGTAAGTGAACATTTGGAAAAGTCGGTAAGTTGGAGCCTGTATAGTATGGTGACTAAATGATACTGTGAGCATACTTGAAAGTTGCCAAGAAAGTAAATCCTGAAAGTTAACTTTGTCTGGTGACGGATGGTGATGATCATCTCACAGTGTGTACAAATATTGAATCATTACGGCATATACCTAAAATCAATACAATGCTATATGTCAATTATACCTCAATACATTTTTATTTATTTTTATTTTTTTACAAATAAACTAGTGGAATTGTAGAAAATCCACTATCTTATACTTAATAAACTAGCAAGCTCTGAAAACTAACAACAATTTTTAAAACAAATCTTTTTGGTCCAGGTAACACATTTATATGCTTCAAAGTCAAAGCAATATAAAAAGACACAGAAACCTGCTGTCCCTCAGACCCCTCCACCTGGTGGCCTTGGTGCCCCACCTCCTCTGCACCTCGCCTTGTTTCCTTTAGGAAACTACTTCTGCTAGTTTTAAAAAATATATATTTCTAATTTTATTTGAAATATATATTCATTCCTATTTTTTGCATTTTTGTACACAAAAGGCGGATCTTGTATAATTATGCTGCATCTTGCTTTTTTCACTCAACAATATGGAGAACGAGGAGGTCACTGTAATCCAGTGGAGAGGCGCCAGAGCAAACCCCCACAGTGCCAAGCGCCCCTGGCAGGTTCTGCCCCAGGGCGCCCGAAGGCCTCACCTTGACTAGAATGTAGCTGTGCAGGATCATGAGGTTGGTGGCCATCTCCGAGGGAATCTTGATCTTCTGGGATTTCAGTTCTGCATACATACTGAAGAGAAGGTCGTGTGCATTCCGATAGTTGCCTGGGAAACAAGGTGGTGAAATGACGTTACTGCAAAGGATGAATTCTGAGGACTTTCTATGGGCCCTCATTTTACAAATGACTTAATCATGGTATTAGTAATATCCTAATAATTTCTTACATAAAGTAACTCAGTAGTTTTTCCCACTGGAATTACGGTCCTAACATCCAGCCAGCCCCTCAGGAAGAAAACGGTGGCGACATCCTAGATGTCTCTCTTCCTCCCGGCTCCCACCTGGCCCCAGAGTTCAATGGGTCATCAAGTTCTGAGTCTCCCAAATTCAGCCTCTTCCTGACCTCTGCCAGTGCTTCTTGTCATCTCTCTCAGCATCATCTGCCTCCGTTCTGATGTCAGTGTTCTTGTAAAAGCCTCAAGTCTCACTCCACATCCCAAAACCTCAGGTCACACCCCTACAAAAATCCTCCCCCAGGCCTCAGGGACCAAGTGCAATTCCTCAGCGGAGACTTCAGCCCTCCAGGATCTGCCTCCGCCAGCCTTTCCTGCCTCCTCTTTGCCCTCCCCGCCCGCTCAGTCATGGCCAGGGCCACAGTGTCCCTCACTCCTTCGAGCACGTGTGTTCTCATGTGCTCAGGCCCCAAAGGAGTAGAGGAAGCAGCATGTGACCAGAGCAGGCTTTAGCGGAGATACTCAATAGCCTCGTGATGATGAATTATGTCTCTTCTCTGGAAACTTAAAAATGATGTTTCCCCCCGTCTTCTTGGTTCAAAGCAATCCTCGATAGAATCGGGCTCCTCTTCCCTGGCGGAGGAGGGTTTGGGGAGAGGGACCTACCTGCAGACTGCTCTTCCCTGGCGATGATAATGGCAGTTCGGGCGGCTTCCCGGTATTGCTTCAGGGCCATGTACAAGCGGAACAGGTACTTGGCGTCCTGACATAGAAACCATGAGAGAAACATCACTTTCTTCAGTAGCTAAGGGGAGAAACACCTAAGATTTCGCATTTCAGTTAGAATCGCATTCGCTTTCCAGTAACTGAGGGTTGGTACTGTTTTAAAAAACCGAATAAATAATTAGTGTATCAAATATTTATCTAGAGTTTAATATGTGCCAGGTAATATTCTAAGTACTTGAGAAATACTAGCTCGTTTGAATCTTCATGCCCTGCCTGGGAGGGAGGCACAGTTACAGAATTCACTGATGGAGAATGAAACACCAGGGCCTCGCCCAGCCAGGATCCTCCACGCGGACCTGGCTTCACTCTGCTCCTCAGCCCGCTCCACCGAGTTCCCTCTCACACGCCGAAAACAAAATGTGTTCTTATACAATGTACCAACTTTGCAAAATTTCAAGGAATTTTAAAGAAACTATGTAAGTTTCTCAGGCCGATATGCTTTTCTTTGGCCTTTGAGCAGTTTTCATTCCTAGTCTCCTTAACCCTGGACAATTTCACGTACTTGGTGCTGCTCCCGATGACTATAAGTGGGTGGAAGGAGAGGTGGTTTACAACAGTTTAAGGGCCTGTGCCCTTTTGGCAGGTTAACTTGGCCTCCCTGAACCTCAAGGTTTTTATCTGTAAGGAACAGAGAGTGGGTTTGGAGGTCAGGACTGTTACAATCCTCTCCAGGGGCGACATTCTAGTGCCTTCTCTCCAAACCTGTGACCCGAGTTCCTTCACAAGCAGATCCCCTTGGGCCCCAAAGCAAAAGGGGAGGGAGGATTGGGGGATTCTCTCAGGATGAGTCTGTCCTCACTGGGACTGAGAGAAGACCAGTTTCTGTGCAAACGCCAAGAGAGTCACACACTTTAAAAATAGCTTCTTAATGATTTATTTCTATTTTATATTTCTAGTGAGTTACTTTTATGCTAAATATGATTTTTATTAATTTCCAATATTTTTGAAATACAAATAAAGTACACTAATTTTCAGGAGTGAGTGCTAACTCATAGTCCTAATAATCATTTTTCATCGTTCTAGAATAACTAAAGCTCTATAACATTTGAGAAAAATTGTGGGTGGTGAGGATTGCTATTAGAGTGCTGTGGCCGTTTCACAGGCGGCGATGCTTATTTCAAAGAGAGAATGTACACAGTGTCCTCCAAGGAGCAGGGTCTGTCGAGATGGCCCGAGGCTACATGCAGAGAGAGAATTTTACGTCTGTGGTGCAAAAGCCACAATATGTAAAAACAGGACAGAGGGAGGAAAGCCTAACTGAGCCGCTTAGGGATCGAGGGAAGAAAGCATTCCAGGACCTTCGGCATGCCATCGCTCTCCCCCATCAGGTGGTCGATCAGTTGACTGGTCAGCAGTTCATCTTTGGCCTGACCAACCTGTTTCGGAAGACAGAGAACCTGTAAATTCAAATCTTAAAACTAAAAAGAGGTGGGGAGAAAACAATCTGCTAAGGAAATGGGATTTAAAAACATGTAAAAATTCCTATTGTCAAGTGCCTGAAACAGAAGCGCAGGTCTTTTCTTCTTTCATTTGTAGAGTTGCCATTAATAAAAACCTACCTTAGAAACTGTAGCCCTGGCCGGTTTGGCTCAGTGGCTAGAGCGTCAGCCTGCGGACTCAAGAGTCCCAGGTTCGATTCTGGTCAAGGGCATGTACCTTGGTTTCGGGCACATCCCCAGTAGGGGGTGTGCAGGAGGCAGCTGATCAATGTTTCTCTTTCATTGATGTTTCTAACTCTCTAACCCTCTACCTTCCTCTCTGTAAAAAATCAATAAAATGTATTAAAAAAAAAAAAAGAAACTGTAGCTTTTTAAAGTGGCTATATCAAAACCTACTTTTTAAAAAATATACACAGAGAGGACATACTTCTTGGATGTTTCAATAAAAACTTTCTTAAGGGAAGTGATTGTTAGCATCTAGAGAATAACATCTGTGATTTTACTTTAAAATGACGTAGGGAAGGAGGGGGTGGGGTATGAACAAAGGAAGACCGGCTATGTGTTGATAGCTGTTGATGTTAGATAATAGGTTTAATGAGAGTTTGTTACAACACTTGTATATATGTTTGGAAATGTCTTCAAAGGGTTTAAAAACATGAAAGTTTCATTATAGAGCTTACTTACAGTTTCAATTGCCATTTCGATTGCTGCATTATTTTCCGAGCTTGGACATTTTAGGAAGTGTTTAAGTGCCTGAAAGGAGAATTGTATAACAATTAAAACTCTTTGGACTGCTTTCACATTGAGAAAAACAAAGCTTTAAAGCACACAAAAGGGATTATAGTCTGTAAAAGTGTCATCTTGCACAGAGTTGGATCTTAAAATATATATTTAACGGGCTGAATTTAGTTTTAAAAAAATGGAAGGATCCAGTGAACCCTCTGAAGAATACAGCTCATTTCTGATGAAATGACAATAAAAAGTGTGCCCTCTTTCAGTAGGATTTTTTTTCATTAATTTACTGATTCAACAAGTATTCATGGACAACCTGTTACTATGTATATGAGACTGCTAGATGCTACAGAGACCAGGAGGGTATGCTATGGTACCTTTTAGTACTATGTACAATCTAATTGGGGTGATCTGTGTGATGTGCTGATAAGGAACCATTTGGGCCATAACTGTCTAATTCCTGAACACCATACCACCACATCTATGAGGAGATGTAAGGTTATAACAGCTTAAAAGACTGGTAAGTGGGGAATAGGGCAGAGAGGAATCTCACTGGAAAACAAGGATGGGGAAAGGCGAGTGGGAGTGTAGGATTTTTCAGTGGAAATAGCTGGGTGCCAGATTGGGAAGCTCAGGCTGGTTGGTCCCATTGGGGAAGGGCTTGGACTTAGTATCAAAGACGTAGAAATGGCAAATGGATGGCCTGAAGGCAGATTCACACACACAAATGTTTCTCTGACCAGCAAGGTAGTCTATGAATGTCTGTGCCCGTATTTTAAAACTGGGAGACTCAGACTTCCGTTTCTTATTAAAAATCATACGATCTGGCACGACTGGGCTCACACTCCTGGCTGGCAACAACCTTGTGGAGGGAGCAGCAGCTGTTCCCATTGCCACCCAGCAGTCCCCGTCCTGTCGCACATGAGCCAGCTTTCCCCACAGCTTCCGTATTTATGTCCCTTGCTTGCACACAGTAACCCTATGTTAGGGGCTTCTTAGCACTGAAAGTACCATTTGGGGAACAAAGGGAAGGATAAATGATAGAAAGAGAAACTAAAAACGGAAAATAGGAGGAAACTATTGCAATAACCTAAGGGGAAGCTATCTGGGTTTGGATTAAATTGATGGTAGTTAGAATGATAAGAAGATGTGAGAGATATTTCGAAGGAAGAATGGGCTTGGCTGTGGCAGAGAGAAGAATTTAGAGCTGAATTAAAAACATAGTATATTTTAAATTATCTCCTATAACCATTCCTGTAGAGTCCAATGTATGTTTCCTTGGCACATACTAACTCGTGAATATTGGCCACACAGCAAGAAGAATTTTCCAGCCTGAAAATGCCTTTTTTCTCCTTCAAAATATAAGGCAATGCTTTGATAGTCTTCATTAGTAGTGTTTTCAGAACCTACAATAGAAGTTCATTGAGTAAAATATTTGAACAAAAATTTACTTTTATTGTTACCTAAAAATAAGATCTAAAAACAGGTTGATTAAAAACTTCACAAGCAAATAATGTTATTATCAGGGTCTGCTTTCATCACAAAACACATTTACCATAATTACTCCACATATCGACTTTGTTCCATCTTTTCCCTCTACACAGGAATCAGGAGAGGAAGCTGTGAGTCTGTGAGAATCCAGGCTATGGTTTGACATTACCCCTAGCAACTTTTACCATTCTTTAAGAGTCTCAATCTCATTTCCTAAAACAGGAATAACTATGACTATAATCTCAACCATGACTTGCCTAGAGTTTCAGAACAATCAGAAGCCAAGTTAACTGTAATGCAAATGTAACCCATCTCCCTTTCTCAGCAATGCCTGGTCTAAACAATAGTCTGTATGCATTTGTTAGGTAAGGAAGGAAGATGACATTCAAGTGGCCAATAGGTGCCATTTAAAGAAAATGACTGTTACTCTTTTGGTTTGAGGCTTAACTATATTAAGCACAGAAGAAGAAAGCTGGAGTTCTAATTCATTGTTTACATTTACTCATGGGAGTTGGAGACCCAGTAGGATTCTTGTGCCTCCACCCCAAGGCAGATATGGAGTTTATAAGAGAAGGGGATAAAGAAAGGTGGAGAAAAGTGTTGGGTTGTTTTTTTTGGGTGGGCGGGGAATGGAAGGGAGTGTGTATGATCCTAAATAATAAAACCCTAACATGCAAATTGACCGAATGGTGAAATGACCAGTGGAACGACTGGTTGCTATGACATGCACTGACCACCAGGAGGCAGACGCTCAACGCAGGAGCATCTACTTTCCTCCTGCCCCCCAAGAAGGAGGTGACTGGCTGGGGCGAAAGGGGGGCGCCAGGCCACCAGCCAAGGCAGGTGCCAGCAGGAGCCCCCTGATTGCCCCACCCACCAGTCACTCCTCAGATGGCCTTGACCGCCAGCCAGGCCTAGGGACCCTACCCTACATATTGGGAACAGTCTCTTAGATTTAAAAATTAAAACCTGGCAAGGCTACTCTAACACTGAAAAAACCGGATGATGAAGCGATGACATGCATGGACTCTGGCTTGCACATTTTGCAGTCAGCCCTGATTCTGACACTTATAACTGTGACAAAGCCAATTACTTAACTTCTCTCTGCTTCAGTTTTTTTCCATCCTTAATATGGGGGGAATGGTACTACTGCCATAGAAGGATCATGTTACATACTACTTTTTATAATCAGGGCAAAAATTGTAGCTGCCCATACAACAGCAAGATGCCTTTCACCTGTGTGAAAAGTATGGTCACTGGTGCATGCAGCCTCCCGGATTGTGAGAGGGAGGTCTGACTGCCGATTTAGGCCTGACATCCCCCGAGGGGTCCCGGATTGCGAGAGGATGCAGGCCAGGCTGAGGGACCCCCTCACACCTGTGCACGGATTTCATGCACTGGGCCTCTAGTATAGCATAATCCACATCCTTATGAAATTAGAGAAATTTAAATAATTTAGTGCAATGATGATTTTAAAAAACTGATTTCAGAGAGGAAGGGAGAGGAAGATAAAAACATCATTAGAGAATCATTGATTGACTGCCGTCTGCATGCCCTCTACTGGGGATCAAGCCTGCAACCCAGGCCTGTGCCCTGACCTGGAATCAAATCACGACCTGGTTCATAGGTCGATGTTCAACCACTGAGCCACACTGGCTGGGCAATGGTGATTTTTAATGTTAGAACAGAAATATCATCTGTCAAGTTGGGCATTAATAATGCTAATGTTGCTTTTATGTACACATCCTTTTTTTCAATAACTATTTTCTCCAATTATCTGAATGACTTCCTAAGATATCAGAAGATGCAGTTAACTATTTCTTCCCTTGAAGACTTAAAATGTTTCTCATGAATCCTATCATCAATTCTTAAGTAACAAGAAAGGACAAATATTTTATGATTCCACTTATATGAAGTGTCACGAATAGTCAAATTTAGAGACAGGAAGTCGAACAGTGGTTACCAGGGGCTGGAGGAAGGGGAGTGGGGAGAGTTACTGTTTAACGGATACAGAGTTTTAGTTTAGGATGATGAAAAGGTTCTGGAGATGATGGTGGCAATGGTTGCACAGCAGTGTGAATGCACTTAATGTCACACTTAAAAATGGTGAAAATGGTAAATTTACGTTACTTATATTTTACCACCCCCCAAAACAAACAAACAAACAAACTCCAAAGCAAAACAACATGACAATGTTATGTATGGTCCATAAAATGAAAACCTGAAAGTTATTTCAGTAGTTTCTAAGAATAATCGCAAATGTGGGAAGGAAAACCTGTAAGCAGGTGTTCTCAGAATATAAAATTCTCTTTTGAGCTTTCAAAATCTTTAAAAGCCACATCTTTTGTATATCATTCTTCATCAAAAGTAACCATATATTCTTTTTTTTTAGTAACCATATATTCTTAATTTATAACTCAATTTTTAAAAATTTATAAAAACATTCATTTTTCAAAACTCATTCTGCATTTATGTCACCTTCATTTGGGAACCCTGTTTTTCCACTGGCTGATCCATAGCAAGATTTGGGAAATCTGGCTTCTCTGCTCTCAGGATTTACCCCCAAATCCGTAAGTTTTGAAAATGGTCTTATAATTGCATATCACCTTTAAGGTGAGAGTAGGGATCCTGAAATCCAAGAAGTACCATATATATTTGTGTGTTTCTATGTAAAAATGGTGGGTATGCCTGTGCTTGTGCTTATACCAACCGGATCATTAGATTGTGAGAATCAAAATGTTTATATGGTAAAAATCCTTAAGAGAAATCAGGGAAAACAATGATATTTACCAATAATATCTGCATAGATTTCCATCTTGTTGTGTTGCTGAGCCAGTGTGAAAGCTTCATTGTTACATTTGGACATGACAAGAAACTGGATGGCAGATCCGTAGTCACCTAGTTGTAGGAAAAACCTAAAACAAAGTACTAAATGAGCTTGACTCGTTTCAATTAAGTTTGTCATTTACAAAATAAAATATTTCCCAACCATGAGAAACCATTTAACAATAAAAATGTATGAGGTGAACTGCAGTTCTACAGTCTATGATGCTTATATTGGAAAAACACCCTCTCATACACTCATACAGTGACCACAACAGTGGTTTTAAACACTTAGGCCTAAAAAAAAACCAAAACAAAAAAAAACAAAGAGAGAAAGAAAATAATAAATATTCCACTTGAATTTGTTTGCTAAAGGGAAGCAGGGGCTTTCCTCTAAGGCTAGTTTTTGGAAATCAAACTATCAATGCCTTATGCTACCTGGCTACCATTTTGGCTCCATCCAGAGACTGGGTCTCTCTGACGACACTGACAGCCTTTTCCGGATTGTTGAGGTGATCCAGATAGATTCGGATGACACTGTTCCACTGCTTTGCGTTCTCATAAGCCACCACAGCTTCTTTGTATCTATAAGAAATTCTTAGTTCAGACAAACTTTCTTCCACTGTCACATTTGGGGGAAAATGTCAATAAATAGTTGGGGCATTTTTCTCTTTTATGATGGTAACTGATTATTTTTCTGGAACTTCTTTTTCAGAAGGAATAATAAGAACCATCTCACTAAAATATGTTCTTTATAGGTTTAATAAACTATCAGTAAAATACCAATACTGAATTTTGTATTCTCATCTGAATCATCTCTATATATAAAGCGGTAATATGCAAATTAGCCGGGCGTCACCACCGGCTCAGGAGGCGGCTGCATCACGACCCCTCAGGATGAGCTGCGTGCACAAATGGGCGGGAGGGGACTGCGCGCTGCCCCCCAGCCCCAGAGGACACACACCAGGGGTGGGGGCGTGCTCCGAGTGGCTGTGGTGCACCCCCGGGGGGTGGCAGTGGCGGCTGGAGTGAAACAGCCCGGGTCCTGGGTGCCGGAAGGAAGCCGGGTGCCAGCAGCCAGGGGAAGGAAAGCCTATTCTGGTACGAATCTTCGTGCAACAGGCCTCTAGTATCTCCATAATATTTTATATTTTACTATTTTTCTAAGTTGAAATATTACAATATTAATATAGGCTTATTTTAGAAAACAAAATATAGATTTTTACAGTTATAAAGCTTAACAGTGATACAGAAAATCTTTGTGTTGACCTCTAGATGGCGCTCAACTTCTCCAGTACACTAGCTCTCCAGCTCATTTATTTAGTGTATCTCTATTTCCTAAGGTTACTTTTCTAAAAGTGGAGGGTATTAACCTTTAAAAATCTCTTAATACATATTGTTCAATAACTTTTTAAAGGCTTTAGAAATTCATACTACCATCAATAAGGTATAAAAAGTGCATTTGGACAGTACGGTCATTGATTTAATATAATCTCTCCCAAATGGTAGGTTAAAATGATACACTGTTGCTTTAATTTAGTTATTATTAGTAAAGTAGAGATTTTTCATATTTACATGAGATGCAATTTCATAATTGTATTTCCTCCTGAGGGTCTCCTTGTCTTTTTCCTCCTAGCATCTTTGAGTTTCCCGTATGAAGTTGCAGGAGACCTTTGTGTATTCAGAATATTAACTATCAATTGCTATATTTTAATACTGTTTTGAAGCTTAAAAAGTGCGACCACAGCTGTGGAATTCATGTTTCTTCACTTTCTCTCTCTCTGCATCAGTAAGTTATCCTCCTTAAGAAAAATGACTATTACCAACTTTATTTTCATGCCATATTAACTCAAAATTTCCACTCGTAGGATTTAACACTCAAATAAAAAGAGTTAATACTCTGCATCTGAATACATGCAGGCTCGACTGAGGTATATAAAGTCTGAGAGAACTTAACAGCCTGGCACTTCAGGCCAGGCAGGGCAGAGCTGTTTGCTGTTTCTCTGCGTTGCCTTTCTCAGAGGGCTGCAAATATCACTGTTAATGTATAAAACGTTACTTTACATTGATGAAATTTGAGAGATCGTACAAACCTCCCATCTGCTTCTTTGGCTTTGGCGTACTGCAGGTAAATCTTTGGGGAAGAGACATGAGGCAGAAGCTCCCCGACTTTCGCCCTAGAGAGGTGGGCGTAGGAGAAAAGTATCACCACGGTGTTCTTTCTAAAAGTAGCTTCCTACAATCAAACGTTACAGTTACCATGAGCTTTCAAAAATCTTGGCTCCTATAGTTTAAAGATTTAATTGTTTTTTCTCTTGACCACCCCTCTCTGCACCCCGGTAGGAAAATGGTGGTTAGTTCCTTAACTCTTTGGGGCAACCCCTCTTTCTTTCTTCTAGTAACTTACCTGATCAGGGATTTCCCCAGACCAAGTCAACAGAATGTGCTGTTCTTTGAAAAAAGTATTATTAACACGAATTCATATAAAAAGAAAAAAAAAAGGAGATGGAGGGAAGGCCCAGGTAGGAGGAACAGGATGTGTAGGTAGGAGGAGCGACAAGGAAACAGGTGGGAAGACCACTGGGACACATTCATTTCCATACCTGCTCAGAACAAATTTCAGCAAATTCTTACCAATTCTTATAGCGTATGTAAACAGATGCTGCTTTGTCATAGTAGAGGCCTTTTTCATAGAGTTGGGCTGCTTCCGAATATTGCTAAAAGGATATGAGATTATTAAAATACTAAACTTATCCTATATAATATGCTAATTAGCTGTTATGCCCTGAGGCATAACGACCAAGCGCATCTCGACCAGATCATGGATCAGCAGGAGGGTGTGCCAGTGAGGTACAAGTGGGCTGTAGGGAGCTACAGGAGGGGGCAGGGCAGCAAGCTATGGGGCGGGGGACGGAAGGGGGGGAGCTATAGAAGGGAGGGGCAGCAGGTGCAGAGCTACAGGAGGGTGGCAGTGACCTGCTGGCACACCAATTCGTGCGCAGGGCTACTAGTTATGTATAAGATCACATGAATCTGTAAGCACAGAAAAGCAAACCTTCATATTCTCTAGGATGGCCCCGCAGTCTCTCTTAAGGACCCTGCTGGGATGCTTGAGGGCTTGGTTAACCCCTCGCCGTATGTCTCCCATTCTTATGGACATCTGGGCCACTCCAGCCAGACATAACTCATCATGTTCCTGTAATTAAAAGGCAAGTAACTAACAAATCAGATCCTAACTTAAAATGCTGTATTTTAGGCAAAGGATGAATTTAAATCTAAAATGAGCCCAAAGTTACGGTTAACTTTCATTAATCCTTTCAGGAGTATCTCGAGATTTGGGGGGAAATTTTTTTTTCTTAAGAAGTCTACATCTTTTGTGCATAAGACCAAATTTTTATGGCCCTTCGTCCTAATACCTTTGCATATCTCTGTATATCTTCTTGCTGTTAAATTTTATGTAAGAAGAAATGTACTGGATATGTAAGCATATATGCTATGGATAAAATTAAGAGGAAACCCATTTATCAAATTGAAGATTTCTCTACTAGGCATGATTAAACATAAAAACTTTATTTAAAGTTGGTTATTTTATTGAAGATAACTAAATAATTTTTCAAATAACTAATCTGAACTAGTAAAATGTAATGTCAGATTTCATTTTATGTAAATCAGCGTGTCCAGTAGAATGTTCTGTGATGATGTCTGCCTTATAACAGCCACAAGTGGCTATTGAGCACTTAAAAAACGGCTAGTGTGACAGGGAAACTGAATGTTAAATTTTATTTAATTTAAAATAACTTAAATAGCCACATGTGGCTAGAGGTGACTATTTGATAACAGAAATAAAGAGTGACCTAGACAGATGTAGCCTAACAAAGAAAACATCAAAAAGCCAAGAGACCAATGAGCCAAGGATATGATTGGACAATTCATAAAAAATACAATTGGCCAATAAAAAAAAGCTCAACTTCACTAATAACCAAATGCATAAAATAAAGTGAAACACTTTTTCTTGCTGATCAAATTGGCAGAAATAAAAACAATTGATAACATTCATCGTGTTAAGAATGTGGGGGGAAATGGACACTTTCATGCATGACAGATGGATGGATTACTGCCATTTCCTTTAGGGGTACAAAAATTAAAAGCACACATGTATGATCTAGAAATCTCACCTGTAAGAATATATCCTTCAGAAATACCATCTTAGTAGCTAAAGATACGTGTACTAGGCAGAATATTCATTACAGTGTTTTTGATAGAAACAGAAGCAAAAACAACTATAATTCAATAAGGGCATAGATGAAAAAACCATGGTACAGTGTTCCCCTCTTATCCACGGTTGTTAGTTATTGCTGTTAATCTCTTATTGTGCCTAATTTATAAACTTTATCATAGGTATATGTGTAGAGGAAAAAACATAGTATATTTAGGGTTTGGTATGATCCATGATTTCAGGCTTCCACGGGGGGTCTTGGAACGTATCCCCCACAGATAAAAGGGGATTACTGTCCCTCCAAACAATGGAATTACTCTAAAATTAAAACAAAATCAGGGCTAGAAGAGGTCAAAGGAGGTGGGGGAGGAGACACATATAAACTTTCAAAGTTTAAAAAACACACAAAATTATATGCATTGACTTGGAAAGACCATGAAGACAGCAAAATGCTGCTTGTCATGGAATGAATTCTCAGTTGATCTTTGCTTAGTGAATGGAAATAATTTCATTTTCAGTAAGAACCCATATTACATATATATTTCTATGCTGAGAAGAGATTCTGCTTGGACCTATATGAAATCATTAACAGTGGTTACCATGAAGGGGCGTGGATGGAGGAGAGAATGTTGGACTCTCACTTCTCATGTTTACATATTTTGGTGACTTTTTAAAATGGACTCTAATAAAATTATATTACTTTTATAATAAAAATGCTAAATATAAAATAAAAAAATTTTCCATCTTTGTAAGACATTACCTAACTTAAAATCAATTTTTATTGCAAAGTTTAGCTTCTTGAGCTAAAATTGTGGGGTGGGAGGATGGGTCGGAGTAGGGGGTAAAGTTCATATCTAGCAGGTTCATCGTAAAAGGCCAAGCCTGAGAGATGGAACAGCAGAGCTTTTGTGGCCTGAGAATTCACTTTCAAAGTAGTTATTGGAAGTTTTTAAGACTAAAAGGAAAAAGCCTTATGAAAATCATAGCCTGTAAGTGGAAGGGATACAAATCTTACTCTCAACCTTAATAAGGAGCTCATGTTGAGAATGCAATGAAAAACATCTTTTTCAAACCACTAAAAATATTGTCATCTTCAGTTTATAAAAGTTTAAAATGCTCTATAAACCCTTGCAAAATTGTTAATAAACTGAGAAAAGGCTTACCTGCTAAGTATTGAATAAATACAATGCAAATAAGATACATTTAAATTAATAACAAGCCCAAAGATAATTATGTATATCTTATCTTTATTCAAGATTACCTTATTTTCACCTGTTATTCCTTTCTCATAATGAGCCAAAGCATTTACATAATCACCCCTGAAAGAAAAATCAGAGTGGATTTTAATACATATTTAAGTATCTTATTTACATGTATGAGATATAGAAGTTAATCTTTGTCATTGAGTGGTTTCAGCTCACAACAGAAGTAATACACAACAATACACTAGCATTCTTTCAAACGCAGTGCGTTATCATGTTGCTACTTTAAAAACAACTGTTTAACTGGATTATGCCAGACTGTAAAGTACTAACTGTCTAACATTCTAGGCGTCTTTGAGATCTACGTAAAATCTTTTTTTATTATTTTTTTTATTTTTATTGATTTTTTAGAGAGAGGAAGGGAGGGAGATAGAGAGAGTTAGAAACATCGATGAGAGAGAAACATCGATCAGCTGCCTCCTGCACATCTCCTATTGGGGATGTGCCCGCAACCCAGGTACATGCCCTTGACCGGAATCGAACCTGGGACCTTTCAGTCTGCAGGCCGACGCTCTATCCACTGAGCCAAACCGGTTTCGGCTACGTAAAATCTTCTGGGCCACTTTTGGTTAATTATCTCCTTCGGTACAGTAAATGACAATCATGTGACCACAAAAATCAATGTTTCCCCCCCCAAACACCCAATATTTTTAATTACAATATGCACTGAGAAAATCTGCGTAGAAATGGAACAAAACACTGGGTTACAGTATTGAGGGCACCGGTTCTTTCTGATAAAAAGTATTATTCAAAATATAAATGATATTACTCCCTAACCCCACGACTGATGCTAACACGGACCTGCAGACCCAGAGGACAGAATGGACAGTGATTTTTTGAGGTCCATTTGGAGACCCACCTTCTGAGAAAACATCTCCTCCAGAATAAATTAATCGGCTCTGAAGATCGTGTCATTTGAGATCAATCTGAGTTCCACCCCGTCAGCTTAGGCAGGTCATTCAACCTCTCTAAGCCTCACTCAGTTTCCTCATCTGTTGGTGGATGGGGAATTTTTTTGAAGATAAGCTGTTCTGCTGACTGAGAACTTGGTTTTGGACACACAGCCAGAAATGTTACTAAGTGGAAATTTCTAATATTTGGACCCAATTATGTCACAACACAGCTAGGAATGTCTCCTGACAATAGGAACAACAGATCCTCCCTTCAGGAGCCTGAGGCTTTCCCTGGGCAAGCCCAATTAGGAGATGCTAAATCAACATTTTTAGCCGACCCGTCTGGCTCAGTGGTTGAGGGGCGACTCATGAACCAGTAGGTCATGGTTCGATTCCCAGTCAGGGCACATGCCTGGGATGTACGCTCGATCCCCAGTAGGGGGCGTGCAGGAGGCAGCCGGTCAATGATTCTCTCATCATTGATTTTTTTCTATCTCTCTCCATCTCCCTTCCTCTCTGAAATCAATAAAAATATATTAAAAAAAGATATTTGGAACTCGCACTTTATTTTCAGGTTATTTTAGCTCACTCACTTTATTATTTTATTACGGAACTCTCTTATGGATCTAGCTCATGAGTCTAATCCTAGACTAGAAAGCTAAATCCCTCCCACAGCTGGCAGACTGGTCCTGCTTTGACCTAATCAAGGTCTTGGATTAGAAGCAAACTGTTGGAACTGAGCATCGACCTAGGCCTTAGGTGTCAAAATCAGAAGCTGGAGGCTCCTGGGATACTTGATGATGATGAGATAGACCTAACTTACTACTATTATCACAAAGGAACTCTCCTGACCAGCTGGGGACCAGCATACAAGTAGCAGTGAAATTTTTGGGAATTGGTGGCTTCATGGTCAAATATTGAGCAGAAAGGGTTAAAATATACCAACAACAAAGCACAGGCTTCCACTTGACTCAGCTCATCTGACTGCAGTGAGACAACGTGAGAGTTTGCTACAAAAGCTTTGTGTCGTGAAGCAGAACATCCACGTCTTCGGATGGTCTGAGGGCCTACTGGGTGTTTGTGCTCTGCCAGCACACGGTGAGTCACCAATGTAGCCACTTTCTCTTCAGCACAGAAGCTTTGTACTCTAAGACCCATCACCCTCAGGAGAGAGATGGAGGGCCAGGGCCCTGGGGCCTGTCCCTGTCTTATGCACTAAAATTCCAATTTGTCCTTTTTAATAAATGAGTTTACTTTGTAAGGGGCAGAGATGTGGCAAATTTAAATCCCCGTTGATTAAGAAGAAATATAGTCTTCAAAAAGTTTTTTATTTGCAAAATTTGAAATAAGGACTCTTGGTTAGAAATGAAACAGTACTTTTTGATGAGAATTATTTCTACAATTATAATCTGTGTGTCAATATTCTCAATGAATCCAAAGTCTATATGAAAATAAAATTATATAAAAACTTTAAAAAATAAAATGTTAGAAACATATTTCATTTGTTCAAAGAATATTTTGCTACACTTATTATTTTTGAAACTAAAATGTATCATAAAAATGTTTTGTTTTTTTTTAATTAAATCTTTATTGTTCAGATTATTACATTTGTTCCTCTTTTTTTCCCCCCATAACTCCCCTCCTCCCAGTTCCCGCCCCACCCTCCGCCCTCACTCCCCACCCACTGTCCTCATCCATAGGTGCACGATTTTTGTCCAGTCTCTTCCCGCATCTCCCACACCCCTTTCCCCCCCAGGAATAGTCAGTCCATTCCCTTTCTATGTCCCTGATTCTATTATAATCAACAGTTCATTCTGCTCATCAGATTATTTATTCACTTGATTCTTAGATTCACTTGTTGATAGATGCATATTTGTTGTTCATAATTTGTATCTTTACCTTTTCTTCCTCTTCCTCTTCCTCTTCTTAAAGGATACCTTTCAGCATTTCATATAATCCTGGTTTGGTGGTGATGAACTCCTTTAGCTTTTCCTTATCTGTGAAACTCTTTATCTGACCTTCAATTCTGAATGATAGCTTTGCTGGATAAAGTAATCTTGGTTGTAGGTTCTTGGTATTCATCACTTTGAATATTTCTTGCCACTCCCTTCTGGCCTGCAAAGTTTCTGTTGAGAAATCAGCTGACAGTCGTATGGGTATTCCCTTGTAGGAAACTGAGTTTCTTTCTCTTGCTGTTTTTAAGATTCTCTCTTTATCTTTTGCTCTTGGCATTTTAATTATGATGTGTCTTGGTGTGGTCCTCTTTGGATTCCTTTTGTTTGGGGTTCTCCGCGCTTCTTGGACCTGTAAGTCCATTTCTTTCACCAGGTGGGGGAAGTTTTCTGTCATTATTTCTTCAAATAGGTTTTCAATGTCTTGCTCTCTCTCATCTTCTGGCACCCCTATAATTCTGATGTTGGTACGCTTGAAGCTGTCCCAGAGGCTCCTTACACTATCCTCGCATTTTTGGATTCTTTTTTCATTTTGCTTTTCCGGTTGGGTGTTTTTTGCTTCCTCGCATTTCAAATCATTGACTTGATTCTTGCGCTCCTCTGGTCTGCTGTCGGGAGTCTGTATAATATGTATGCTTAATTTCTAGTTGGTGTATGCTTAATTTGTAGTTGGTTCCCCAATATAAGATCGAGGGTCTCATTAGTTTTCTTGTAGATCTCATTAAGTTTATCGGCGGCTTCTAAACAGTTCTTGAGAGACCTTAAGAGTGTGGTTCTGAACTCTATATCTTCCATTGACAATTTTGTCCTGTTTCTTTGTCTCCGCATTTTGTTATGCTTCCTTGGTGCACCCCCTAGTGGTCTTTGTTTGCAGTCTTATAGTTAAATCTTGATTGTTGTAGCTAAATCCAGGGAGGGTTTGACCTCCAGGCCAAGTGGCTATGAGAATCAGCTGTGTCAGCAGTGAGAGAACTTCTGTCCTCTAGGGAGGTGCTAATCTAGCCTTTGCCTGAGGCTATCCGGCAAATGCCTGTGTGCAGGGCTTGGGCGGGGCGGGTCGAACAGGATCAACAGGGTGGGCCGGAGAGAGCAGTTATGGCGGCTCTCAGTCCTGTCCCCAGGGGCTCTGCCTCTCTGAGTCCCAGCACCCGCTGCAAAGCTCGGAGAGAAAGCTGCACTCGCTCTGACCGAAGCCAGACAGTCCCGCTTCTCCCGTTTGAGTCTGGGTCCCTAAAGACTCGCCCGGATCTGGAGCTCAGAGTCTGCGACTCCCTCCTGATTGAAAACGCCAACCGCGCCCTCCGCAGCCAGCCCGCTCCGCGCACTCCGCACCTCAGAATTTGACTTCAGCACTGCGCCTCCTCTGAGTGTCCGTATGCGTTTCTCTTTCCTCCTAGTTGTAGGACTTCCACTCAGCCAGCGTTCCTGTGGTTCTGGGTGATGTCCCTTCCGTTTTTTGGTTTCACTTTTGAAGTAGTTGTTCAAAGCAGCAAACTCCAGCGTTAACCTATGCCGCCATCTTGGTTCTCAAAAAATGTATCATAAAAATGTTAGAAAAGCCCTAGCTGGTTTGGCTCAGTGGACAGACCATCGGCCTGTGGACTGAAGGGTCCTGGGTTCTATTCCAGTCAAGGGGACGTAGCTCAATTGCAAGCTTGGTCCCCAGTACGGGGCATGCAGGAGGCAGCCGATCAATGATTCCCTCTCATCATTGAAGTTTCTATCTCTCTCTCCCTCTCCCTTCCTCTCTGAAATCAATAAAAAAATATTTTTAAAAAAGTCAGAAAAAATTGTCCAGTTGCAATGTAATTAACACTGCACATACACATGGGAACTTATATTTGCAAATGAATTAGTCATTTATTGCCTCTGTGGGTATTTGCATTAGTAGCATTAAGCATGGCTGAATTACAAGTGGATCTTGAATGCTTCTAAAATTACACATTTATGCAGCACTGAAATAAAAATCTACAGTCTGTCAACTAAGACTATTGATAATTAAGACTATCTAGCGACTAAGTGCACTGGAAAATCCTAAATCTCTCAGAACAGAAGATGGCATTTCCAAAGGAAGGAAAGATTTGTGAAACCTGTCCATGCATCACTCAGGCACTGAATATCAGCCCGTGAGAGCTTCTAGCGTCATCTTCAACATTAACTGTTGAATTTTTGTCCATATGCAATTCAATTTAAAAAAGAAAAACTACAAAATAAAGCAAATAGAAGTTGTAGACCAATACCTAGTATTTTTCACTCTGCCTTGAAATTACACTATAAATCCTCAAAGTGTACAAAGAAGTCAAGATCATGAGCTTAGGTCCTCAAAAGCAGTATGTCACCCTGATGGTCAAATGTGATTCAAAACAATGTTTAGGCTCTAAATGTAGAAAAGGCTTATCTAAGACCCACACTTGATGCTAAAAATGAAAGTGGATAAATGCATGGATAAGACAACATTAGTTAGAAAAAATTTATTTTGTTTGTATAATTACAGTAATCTCTTTTCCCCTGAAAAAGAAATTAATAAATCAACGGAGGGCCTTATAAGAATGGCAGTTTAGAACTTAAGATATTCAGTAATTATTTCCATAGTCAGTAGTCAGTAATTCAGCAATTAGGTACCAACTGAATCATATAAAGATGAGGACTTACGTGAATTCAAGCTGAATAGCATATTCCTTGGAGATAAGTGGTATTTGGTCCGGGGCTAAACGCTTGGCCAGCTGTAGAGCGCTGTCCCAGTGCTGCAAATCCCTTCTCATCTATTAGGGGCAAATGAGCAAGTTATTTTGCACAGTCACCATATAGTGCTAGTTTTAATAAAGTGATTACAAAACTCTTTGCTTAAAAATGAAACTTGATCTTTGCAAAGATAACACGTTACTATAGTATATTTCCTCAGTGGAGGTGATAGAGCTCCCACGGGGGTAAAAATTGATTTGGGGGAGCAAAAACATCTTAGCTATGATTACAAAGGCTTGTGGCCCTCCAAAATGCAATTTTATAGAGCGAACAACATAAACTGATGAACAAAAAGAGATCCAGAGACAGAGAAGCATTGAACTGCCAAACCTCAGACGGAAGGTGGGGGTGGGGGGTGGGGGTAAGAGATCAACCAAAGGACTTGTATGCATACATATAAGCATTACCAGCACATACACCTGAAACTAATACAGAATAATACTGAATGTGAACTGTAATTGAAAAAAAAAAGATAGAAAATTGAATGTCATATGTTTTTCATCACAATAAAAAATAAATAAATGACACTTTAAGTAATAAAAAGCCAAAACAGCTCTAGCCGGTTTAGCTCAGAGGATAGAGTGTCAGCCTGTGGACTGAAGGGTCCCGGGTTCGATTCTGGTCAAGGGCACATGCCCAGGTTGTAGATTTGATCCCCAGTTGGTGGGTGTCTAGGAGGCAGCGATTGGGTGATTCTCTCTCATCATTGATGTTTCTATCTCTCTCCTTCTCCCTTCCTCTCTGAAATCAATAAAAATTAAAAACAAAACACTCAATTCTACCCAACAAAATCTTATTCTTTAGTACTCAAAACTAATAAAAATTAATCCAACCAACCAATTAAATTATTCATTTTCCTTCTTAAAAAGTTGAGTACTTTACTCCAGGAGTTGAGGTTATTTTCTGAGAAACTAAAGCTGTATCACAACACGAATAACAGCAAACATAAATAAAACGTGAATCGTCTTCCTCCCTGGCTCCTGAGGTCTTTTATTTGTGTCTGGTATACAGTCCCAAATATAACTAACCAGGAATCCTTTAGAGTTCATTCCTCACTTTATTCACATTTTGTAAAGAATTAATAAGAGCTCACATTTCCCAAGTGTTATTTTCTGACAGGTAATGCTCTAGGACATTAGCTTATTTGCTTATCACAACGAGGCCTTTTGCAATTAATCGTCCGTAAGGCAAAAGAGGCTAGCTGCTTCGAAACACCTCCTCTCTGTACAGAGTCGGGCTGTCAGCACGTGGCCGAGCTGGGCAGGAGGGCTTTGCCTCTCACTTCCTTTCCCTGGCTAACCTGTCAACCACGTTTGTCTTTTCCATTGATCAGGCACGGTTCCGAAGTGAGGTGAAGTGAACGGCAGGGTGCAATCTTCCCTCTCCACGGGGAAGCCATCAATCACCTCCAACGATTTACAGATCGTTAGTACATGACATGCGTCCATAGCTAAACGTGGAAGAGCTAAGGTGACGTCTTTGGCCTCACTTCTAGCAACCAGTCTCCTACTTCAGTGCGTACCTATCCAAGTTCTGAAAATTTCTCAGGGTGTCCCAATTATCTCAAATAATATTATAAAATTATCTAGTTGGGGGTTAATGGGGGGGATGAGGACACATTTGTAATACCTTAACTAATAAAAAAAAAAAAAAAAAAAGAGAGAAAAAAAATTATCTAAATATTTTCTTAAAACAAAATTTACTTGGTTCATTTAAAATTTAAAAATGAAAATTTGCTACAGAACAATTTGAAAAAGGGTTAAGTTGTGAAATTAGCAGCAAATGTTTTCAAAATACCTCCTCTCTGTAGCTGTGGACAAACTGATTTGAGGTGATTGACAGTAATGACAGCAGCTACCACTTTTGTCTTTTTTTTTTTTTTTTTTAAATATATTTTATTGATTTTTTTACAGAGAGAAAGGGAGAGAGATAGAGAGTCAGAAACATCGATGAGAGAGAAACATCGATCAGCTGCCTCCTGCACATCTCCCACTGGGGATGTGCCCGCAACCCAGGTACATGCCCTTGACTGGAATGGAACCCGGGACCCTTCAGTCCGCAAGCCGACGCTCTATCCACTGGGCCAAACCAGTTTCGGCGCCACCTTTGTCTTTTCTATCGATCAGGCACAGTTCCAAGAGATCTAATCTCATTTTTAAATCTTTACAATAACCAAGTGGGCTAGATACTGTTATCCCTACGTTAAAGAGATGAAATCCAGGGCACCGAAAGATGAAATAACTTGTCCAGGGTTGCACAGAGCTGGGATTTAAGCCCAGACATGTCTGACTCTAAAGTCCAATTCTTTTTTTCTTTTAAAATATATTTTTATTCCTTTCAGAGAGGAAGGGAGAGGGAGAGAGAGATAGAAACATCGACGATGAGAGAGAATCATTGATCGGCTGCCTCCTGCACGCCCCCTTCCGGGAATTAAGCCCGCAACCTGAGCATGTGCCCTGACTGGGCATGGAATCGTGTCCTCCTGGTTCATAGGTCGACGCTCAACCGCTGAGCCACACTGGCCAGGCTCAAGTCCACATTCTTCTTTTAAAAATATATATTTTATTGATTTTTTACAGAGAGGAAGGGAGAGGGATAGAGAGCTAGAAACATCGATGAGAGAGAAACATCGATCAGCTGCCTCCTGCACACTCCCGACTGGGGATGTGCCCACAACCAAGGTACATGCCCTTGACCGGAATCGAACCTGGGACCCTTCAGTCCGCAGGCCGACGCTCCATCCACTGAGCCACACCGGTCAGGGCTAAAGTCCACATTCTCAATCCCTGTTCCCTATGGCCACTTCTCTCTTCCTCCTTGTGTTGAGCTAGGAGTTTACTCTGTTCTAGTCCTTCCGCTGCAATGCTCATCTCTGGGAAACTAGTGATGGTACACTAGTCCTTAGCCCACCTTTTCTTTTATTTGGCTAATCTTCACCCAAGGATGTTTTTCCCATTGATTTTTAGACAGAGTGGAAGGGAGGGTGGGGAGGGAGGGAGAGAAACATCAATGTGAGAGACACATCGATTGGTTGCCTCCCACATGTGCCAAGGCCAGGGATCGAACCTGCGACCCTTTGGTGTGCCGGCTGATGTTCTAACCACTGAACACACCACCCAGGGCTCCTTAGCCCACCTTTTAACGCACAGGAGAATTCCATACAAGAAATAAAAGATAAATGCGTCCCAGTTTTCCCATTTGGACAACAGAGCCTGTAACAGTACTATCGCACAGGATTGCTGTGCGGGTTAAATGAAAAACAGTATGTCTTAGGAATATACCTGGCACGTGTGAACAGTCAATACACGGTGGCTGTTTTTATTTGCATGTGCCTTTGTAAGTTATAAAGTCTGTTCTCTTTGGGCGCATTTAGATGGAAATTATTTGGTAATGTTACCATGCCATGCCTTTTATGGCTCCGCAGAATGCAGAATGAAAGTACTTTTGAAGGTAGTGAGTACTCAGGGGTCCTTAAAGCTGAGTCTGAATTCTAGAGGGGCAAGGCCTGTGGTGCCCGGTGCCGAGGACTGTTAGCCATGTCCAAGGTGAGGTTCCCCCTTGACGTGGCCTTCTTCTCCCCCGCCCCGCCGCCCCCCCCGCCCCCCCCATTTGCCGCCATACCTCCAGCGCAGCAACGGGGCAGCTGGATGCGAGGTACAGGTCCTGAGCCAGGTTGAAATCGTTAGTAAACATGGCAAGATGCCCTGCCAAAAGGTTGTTGTCCTCGATCCCCTGAAAATAAAGGGAGCTTTAATGAGAATACAAATTTTGTGTTTTTGTTTTGTTTTTACTGATTTGAGAGAGAGGGAGGGGGAAGAGAGACATCGATTTGTTGTTCCCTTATTTATGCATTCCTTGCTTGATACTTGCATGTGCCCTGACGGGCCATAAGGTTTCACTAAAAACAAAAGGAAAAGCTTTGCTCAGTAAGAAGTGGTAATGTTCTAGCAATTAACTCGTTGGTGAGTTAGGCAGGATTAACCATAGAATGTAAAATGTATGAACAAATACCATTTAAATCCTAACCTGATAATCCTCATAAGATGCTGTTTACCTTTATTTGTTCCAAGGACATCACCATGCCGACATTTCCGACAGCCCGGTAGACGCGGATTGCGAACTCCACGTCCATGTGATGGAGGCACTCCCTGCCCAACTCATTCCAGGCGTCGTGATCATTCAGAATGGTGCACAGTTCCCAAGCATCAGAGAACCTAGGGTTTGAGTAGAAGCTGAGTCAGGGGGCTCTTTTTGCTCCCTACTAGGCAACTGTCAGATTGTACATTCTTTCATGTCATGCCCTAGGTAAGTTTTGTAAAACACTTCTTAGTCTGTAATCATTATTTACAAGTTACGAAAAATTACATAAACTTTTCTTCGCCTTTTTGTACAGATGACTTTTCTTAAATTTCTTTTATTAATCTAAATTTACTCTGGGTAACCACCTTCCCCCATTAACGATTAATTCTATTTATTTTTGGTTTACTTCATGCAGAGATGAAAATTAGTTTTGTTCTCACACAAGTCTAATAAAATTAGCACTCTATTCCTGTCCAGTCCACTGCCTGGTTTTGAAAGTAAAGTTTGAGTGTCAACCTATGAACCAGGGTTTGATTTCCAGCCAGGGCGCATGCCCAGGTTGTGGGCTTGATCTCCAGTAGGGGGCATGCATGAGGCAGCCGATCAATGATTCTCTCTCATCACTGATGTCTCTATCTCTGTCTCCCTCTCCCTTCCTCTCTGAAATCAATAAAAATGTGTATTTTTTAAAAAAGGTAAAGTTTAGTGGAATGCAGCTACATCAGCCATGCATTATGGATCGTCTCAGCTGCTCTCGTGCTACAACAGCCGAACTGAGCAGGGACAGAGGCCCTATGGCCCCTTGACACGTGAAATACATACCATGTGGCCCGTTACAGAAAGAGTTGGCTGACTTCTGGTTTAAAACATGACCATAAATGCCAATTAAATGTTTTGTGGGACCTTTACATTAATGAATATATTACCCATCTATTCGCATCTGCATTTTCCTGTCTCACACACATTTACTGAGCACCTATTATGTGCCAGGAACTGTGCTGGAACCAAGATACAAAGATCAAACCCAGTCATTGTCCTCCAGGTGTCATAAGTGGGGAAGGTGGAAGACAGATGAGTATGACAGAGTACAGTGGAAGTAATCGAGTGCTTACAGTATGGGGGTCTTTGTGCTACGTACTCTGTATGAATGAATTCTCTCACTGGGTTCCTCTGACAACCCTATCCACTCTGTATTATTATTACTTCTCCTTGGGTTGAGTGTGGGTCTGTAATAGATGAGAAAGTGAGGATTCTTGGCCTTAACACACTAGCCCTAGTCTCACAGTGGTGAATGGGAAAGTGCTCTAAACCACTATGTATATTGTATGTACCCTGGCTCCGAGGCAACACACTAGAAAGTGTTTTGTTTTTGTGGGAGGCAGGGGGCTTCAAGGAAGGCTTCCTGGACTAGGTGAGGGTTCCACTGAACAGTGAGGACTAAGGAGTTACTACGTACAGCAGCAGCAAGAGATGGTGGGAAGCATTAGAACCACAGAGGAACTCACAGTGGCCCTAAGCTGTAAGAGGAAATCTCAGGCAAGGCCAAACCAAACTTTATTAAGAAGAAATTAAGATGTTGTTGAAATAACAATAACTGCACTATTTCGGTGATTAGAAACGTTTTTGTTCCGAAGGGACTAAAGCACCGATATTTCACCGTGACTTTCTTTAGAATTCTACACATGCTCATATCTGTGATCTTACCTGAGCCTCACGATAATCCTGCGAAGGAAGCGAGGTAAATGCTATCATCTCCTTTACAATCCCCAAAGCAAGCGAGCTCCGTGGAGAAGTATTTGAAACCCTACCTTTTCAGCACTAAGGTCTGTGTCAGCATCTGCCTCAGCTCATTAGGCCCCACGTCTTTTAAATTGTTGAGGAAGCTGTGAGTGTCCAGGTAGACATTGTTGATTTGTCCACTCTGTGTCTGGCAGGTCAGCTCTCCATTATACAACAGCAAAGGTTTATGAGAGAAGGGAATTTTGGTGCCATCAGCCAAAATGACCTTGGATCCTACATTATAAAACAGACATCTGAATGCGGAAAGGTAATACTCAGCACAAACATCAGAAAGGAATATTTTCATTTCATTGCAATGGAAATTGACTTATCAACAAATGTACAAAAAGGTGATTAAGTACCTTGTATAGTGTTCCTGTGAAAGACATAGGTGTACGCCTTATCATCATCATAAGCAATAAAAACACCTTTATCCAATGGCCAGTTTTCCCAAAGTACACCTTTAATGGTTGGTGAAAAATCTGGAATCTCATACGTAGCATCATTTACCTACAAAATAGGATTTAAAGTTTTGCCCCCAGTCTATACATAAATTCTTATCATTTGCAGTGGCAGGAGCCTGTCTGTAGCCTTAGCTGGCATAGCTTACAGACCTACACTCAACCCAACAACACGCCAACTGTTAGGTCTGGCTTGAAAAAAACAACAACTATAGTTACATGGAAAATCAAGGGTTTTATCTAAAATCTGGTGAAGTTGCAGGCAAAACTACAAGTCTGGACATAAAGCTTCACGTTAAGAAAAAAAAAGCTGAAGGTGCTCAAGATGACAGAAACTTAAACTATGAACACTTGCGTTTAGAAATTTTTCAATACTGGGCACAGAAATGCTCCAACTAGGGAGGAAACAGAAATTGATTCATGTATGATTTAAAATTTAGATAAATTCCACTGTTTCACTTCAAAAACTTCTCTACAATGCACTCTAACAAACATAAAATGTACTGCTATAATAACATAACCTATTAAAAAAGCAATCCAGCCTGGCTGGTGTGGCTCAATGATTGAGCATCAACCTATGAACCGGTAGGTAACGGTTCGATTCCTAGTCAGGGCACATGCCCGGGTTGCAGGCTCAATCTCCAGTAGGGAGCGTGCAGGAGACAGCCAATCAGTGATTCTCTCTCATCAATGATGTTTCTATCTCTCTTTTCCTCTCTGAAATCAATAAAAATATATATATATATATTTAAAAAAAAAGCAATCACCTATTCCTGTGAACTCAGGCTGGTAGGCTAATACATATGATGAATGTGGAGCTGAGAAGTACCTGCTTTCTCCCTAATCTGTCTTCCTCTAAAAATAAGAATGAAATATAAAATTCTTACAAATAAAAACTAATACTATAGAGCTGTGCTGTCCAGCACAGTAGCCACCACTTACTAACCACATGTGGCGATTGCGCACTGAAATGTGTCTCATCTGAATTAAGATGTGTGCAAGTGTGAACTATACATGGGATCTCAAGAAGTTACCCATGTGTATCTAACTAAGAGTGTGAAACAGCAATGATTTTTTATATTGATTACATACTAACATGATAATACTGAAATTAATTTCACCTATTTCTTTCTACCTTTCTAAAATTGTGCTTTAAAAATTACATATGTGGTTAAAATTACATCTCCATTGGATAGTGCTACTTACCAGATATTGTACTAATTATTTATGTATGTAACTTCATTTAATTCTAACCTCATAGTTCTTAAGACAGATCCTATTATTATACCCATTTGCAGATGAAGAAACCGAGGCACAGAGAAATTTGCACCGAGTCCCATGGCTCCTAAGTTGAAGAGCCAGGACTTGAACCCAAGCAGCGTGGCTCCCGTCTATGCTTCTAACCACTATGCACACTGACCTGCGGTTTGTAAGGATGGGCACACCGTCCAATGGACAGGTGGCAGCGCTTTCTTAAAGGGCAGCCATCTGCTGAGTGCTTAGTATGTGGCAGACACAGTACTAAAAACGTTTAATTGTTATAAACCACCTAGAACATAGGTGCCAGAATGGAATTCACTTTACAACTGGGGAACAGGAACTCCAATCAGAGGGGAGCTCTGGGGGGGCTCCTCTGGGCTCATACCAACGCACTTGCTGGCTATGTGAGCTGGGACAAGTGGCTGATCTTCTCTAGGCCTTAGTTTCTTCACCTGTAAAGTGGCGATAATGTGAGTATTTATCTCTGGGCTGTAATAAGGACAGAAAGAGATCCCTGATGTATGTAAAGAGTACTCAGCACTGAAATACTGGTTATTATTACTGATTGTAAATTCAGGTCTGTCCGTCAGTCTTTAAAGTCCATGCACTTGCCGAAACCGGTTTGGCTCAGTGGATAGAGCGTCGGCCTGCGGACTGAAAGGTCCCAGGTTCAATTCCGGTCAAGGGCATGTACCTGGGTTGCGGGCACATCCCCAGTAGGAAATGTGCAGGAGGCGGCTGATCGATGTTTCTCTCCCATCGATGTTTCTAACTCTCTATCTCTCTCTCCCTTCCTCTCTGTAAAAAATCAATAAAATATATTAAAAAAAAAAAAAAAAAAAAGTCCATGCACTTAACTACTACACCTGATTGCCTCTCTGAAGGGCAACGTGTTTATAAACTTTCTAGAAGATCACAAACCATCCTTCATGGGCATGTAGGGATTGTGTGTGTGTCTGTGTGTGTGTGTGTGTGGGGGGGGGATATAGGTTTTATTGGGGTGTATGTAAGAAAAAGTAATCTCTAAATTCTAATGTACAACATGAGTGAGTCCCTTACTATCCACATAGTGAAGAAAAATAGGTTGAATAAATATACATATGAAGGAAAATTACGAGTACGTTTAAAAATTTTAAAGAATTGTAGTCTGAACATTTGCATGTATGAACATCACAGGAGCAATGCCTCTCTCAAATTATTTGAAGCACTGGAAAATTAGGCTGCAATACCAGCAAATGATGACGGGGCTGGGGGGCTGGGAGGGGTGTTGTTAACATCAAATGAAGTGCGGAGCACTCTGGTCAAGAGTCCAAGGGCCTTAGTGCCTTAGTGCAGCCTCCTGCTGGGTCAGAGGCGGGGAAGGCTCTGCCCCACAAGCCTCCTTCAAGGGCCCTTCCCTTCCAAGCTGGCCCTACTCAGAGAAAAAAGACTGGGTATTATTTAAAAGAGGAATTTACTCTTGTGGGCACAACACTCCCTTCTGGTATCTTGTCCATCCACTTAAAATTCAAGCCTACCAAAGAAATCTTAATTTGAATAAAAGCAAACACCCACCCACATGTTGGGGGAGGGAGAGCACATGCGCCCATGGAGTCATTCTTTGTGTGGATTTTGTTTGACAAGGTTGTTTTTTATTTTTTAAATAAATCTTTATTGTTGAAAGTATTACATATGTCCCCTTCCCCCCACCCCCCAATGTCCTCTCCCCCGAAAGGTTATTTTTTCTTAATACCTGAGTTGCAGGTTAGAGCTGGAAAAGGGAGTGGGGATGAGCAGCAATAAGAGAGAGAATTCCGGATTTGAGGGGTTGAAGGGTGGTAAAGAGGGCAGGGCTTTAACTAACACTCGCTAACTAGCTCCTGTGCCTGATAACATGGAAAGATGAACTCACTGATACCTCAGTCCAACTCTATGAAGGAGGCCATACTGGCCTCAAACAGAAATTACCAAGGAACAGGAAAGTGTAAAAAGAAAGATGTAGCAACGTGTTTAGGCAGGCCTTGCTCTTTGCCCTTTCCCTGCAGTCAGGCCCAGTTCTGACTAACTCCTGTCGGACACCGATGTCCCTGGACCCGTCTGTGTCCCCTCAGCAGCAGTTCCCACCTGTGGCAAACCCACGCGGGAAGCAAGGCAGCTCCGCTTCCTTAGGCCTGTCACAGAAACGGAATCTGCCAGACTGGATTTCCTTATTGCGTAGAGGGAACTCAAGGTTATCTTTATAATTATGTCATTTTCCCTCATTGGTTTGTGACCAGGAGAAAAATGGGTTGAGTAAGAACCAGCATATTAGAAATTTTGCATAAATAATCCAGTCACTCCTGTGGTAACTTGTTATATTTGTCAAAGAAAAAAAGAAGGGAAGAGAAAGCAAGAAAGAAAGGAAGGGAAGAGAGAGAGGAAAGTGCACAGTGAGGGGAAAGCTGTCTTCATTGGAATGTGTCTTCTCTAAGGTAAACCAGATGCCTGGGAACAGCTACTAAAGATGGGCCAAGAGCAGCTGTAGGCTTATGTAAACTGTGAACAAATTAAAGCATTAGCTGGATATAAAGAAATAAATGAAAACTCCAAGTACATCTTACCTAATAATAGACAAAGATGCTAATTGACTGTACCTTCACTACACCCATCAGCCAATCAGAAGAGTATGCAAATTAAACCAACAAAGATGGCCCTTAATCTTACCAGACCTGAGGCTCTGAACCTAATTGTCCCCTATACCTGGGCTCCTGAGCATTAAAGAGAAAAAACCAACATGATATAGAAAAATGTTAGTTACATGCAAATAAGTGGTTAGAATAAGATGGAACTTGGAGACATTGTAGAAAATAGGTCTACCTTTCATCTACCTTTCATCTAGCGCCAATATTCCACCTATGTGTGGAAATTACCGAAAAATCGGTACAGCAGTCTGGTAGGGTTAAATTTGCATATTGCAGGCGGGGCGGGGCAGCGCCATCCGCCGCCCGCCCCTCCGCCATCCGGGCCTGCCATGGGCAACCCGGAGCGGCGGGGCGGAGTGGCGGCGGGATCGGGCCGGCCCTGGGAGACCTGGGGCGCCCGGCGCTGCGGGGCAGGACAGTGACGTCCGCTGCTCGCCCCACGGCGGGATCGGGCCTGCCATCTTCCACCCGGGGAGCGGGCCTAAGCCAGCAGGTGGTTATCCCCCGAGGGGTCCCAGACTGTGAGAGGGCACAGGTCGGGGTGAGGGACACCCCCCCTCGCCAGTGCACAAATTTTTGTGCACCGGGCCTCTAGTATATATATAAAAGCCTAAGCGACCATTATGACCTAATGACCAGTTGGCCAGTCACTATGACGCGCACTGACCACCAGGGGCAGATGCTCAATGCAGGAGCTGTCCCCTAGTGGTCAGTGCGCTCCCCCAGCCAATCTCCCTTGGCCAGCCAACCTCTCCCCCTCCCTCCCCCTGGCCGGCAAACCTCCCACGGTCCCTTTCCCCATCTGGCAGGCCTTGTCCGGCAGCCAGCAGGCCCCGTCTGGCAGCCAACCTGGCCTGGCCCTGATTGGGACTGGGCGAGACAGCCCCAGTAGGCCCTGATCACCGGCCAGATCTAGGGACTCCACCTGTGCACGAATTTCATGCACTGGGCCTCTAGTAGTAAATAATGTAAAAACACATTTTCTTTTTTCTAAATCTATTTTCAAAAAAGTTAAGGATGTGCAAAAATATGAGTTAACTGAAAATGGTCTGTTTTTAATCATCTAATACAAAAATACATTTTCTTTGTATTCAGGACCTTAAGGGAAGAGAAAAATCACCTGAGGTGGAAGAAGGACAGGGTCTAGTCCCAGCCCTCTGGGGCTTATTGCATATCTGGAGAGAAAGTCATGTACATGCTGATACACTATAATACTGCACAGTAAAGAAGGTTAAAAGTGGTACAGAATATAATAACGATTTTTCTTCTAAAATATCTCTCTGAGACTGACATGAAAAACTGCAGAATAATGGAAAAAGATTCCTTGATGTGAACAGTCATGAAATGGATCACAGACATGATAACAAAGTACTATAATCCTTAGCTCTGTTTACGAGAAAATGATTTTATATATAAAATATATTTAAAAAATACTTTTCTTCACGTGTTGTATAATTTTAAAAACAAGCATTCAAAGCTTTTCTAGACTTACTGGACAGTAGACAAATCCATCACTTTTTTCATCAATGAAAACTAATGTGGTCCCATTGGGGTCAGGGAAAATCCTTTTCACACTGACAGGATGTCGATAATCATTAACGAATTGCCAGTTTTCAATGTAGAAATACTGGATGACACCAGTCTACCAAAAAAAAAAAAAAAAAAAAGAAAAGAAAATCCAGTCAATAAAATACTTTCAGCATTTATGTTAAACATACCTTCTAATATGAAGAGAAAAAATGTCATATTTCTGATGATGAAAGAGTCTCAGAATATTTACAATATTTGCAATGTACAGGCAGAAGAAAATAAAACAAATTGTCTTTTCATTCTCTTAACAGTGACTTTCAAAGACACTGTTTTGTTTAATTTTTAATTTTGACAAAGTCCAATTTATCAACTTATTCTTTTATAGATTGTGCTTTTGGTATTATGTCTAAAAAATCTTTGCCTAACCCAAGGTTACAAAGCTTTACTCCTGTTTTCTTCTAGAAAATTTAAAGTTTTATGTTTTACATTTGGGTCTGTGACCCGCTTTATAGAATGTATAAAGAATTCTCAAAACTCAGTAATAAGAAAATAAACAAGCCAATTAAGAAATAATAAAAAAATATGAACAGAAACTTCACTAAAGAGAAACAGATAGCAAATAAGCATATGAAAAGATGCCTCTACATCATTAGTCCATTAGTGAAATGCAAATTAAAATCACAATGAAGTACCATTACACACTCATTAGAGTGGCTAAAAGTAAAGAGTGACAGTATCAGGTGTTTGTGAGGATGCAGAGCAGGGGTAAGGAGTAAGGAACCTCCAGTCCTCGGGTTATGTAAGACCCATGAAATAATTTGGTCTGGTCCTGCCAAGGCAAGAGGGGTGAGTTCATTAAGTGACCAAATATAGCAGGCTAATTTTTAAGTTGATAATTTTGTACGGCCCTCAAATGATGCTATAAATATCCAAATGCACCTTGGCAGAAAAAAGGTTCCCCACCCCTGATGGAGAGGCACTGGAACACATATATACTGATGATGGGAGTATAAAATGGTACAACCAAGTTAGAAAACAGTTTGTCAATTTCTCAAAAGATTAAACATACACATGCCATATGATGTAGCCATTCCACTTCTAGGTGTTTTTATCTAAGATAAAAGAAAGCATATGTCCATACAAAGGCTTGAACACAAATAATTATAGCAGCTTTATTTGTAAATACCCCAAACAGGAAACAACATCAATATCCATCCATAGGTTCATGGATGAGCGAATTATGATATATGCTGACTATGTACTATTACTCAGCAAGAAAAAGGATGGAACTATTGACACAAACACCAAAATGGATGATCTCAAAATAATTATACTAAAGCCAGACAAGAAGGAGTGCCTACTATGTGATTCCATTTGCATAAAGCTCTAGAAAATACAAATTAATTTATTGTGACAAAGCACTAAGTGGGGAGGGATGGGAAGGAGGGATTGAGAAAACTTTTAAAGGTGACAAATATGTCCATTATACTGATTGAGTTGATAGTGTTTCACAGGTGTATACATATGTCAAAACTTAACTTTAACTTGTGTAGTTTATTACCAATTATACTTCAATAAAGCTGCTAAAAAGCCCCAATATTTTCAGAATCACAAGAAACAAAATTTTGTAACTATGTATGGTGATGGATGTTAACTAGACTTACTGTGCAGATCATTTTGTAATATATATGAATATCAAATCATTATGTTATGCATATGAAACTAATATAATGTTATATGTCAATTATACTTCAGTTACAAAAACAAACAAACAAACAAAAAAAACGAGACAGATTAATACTGCCTTACTGACAGGCGACTACATTTTGAGTTCTTACTTCAAAGTGCCTGTGGCATAGTGGAAAGAGTATGTTTCCATCAGGAAATCTTGCTTGTCCAAGTTCCACCTCTGTCACAAACTTAGTGACCTCTCAATCTTCAGTGTCCTCATCTCTAAAACATGCCTGCTTATTTTATATAGTTAATGAGATGAGTGAGATCAGGCTTTATAATGTTGGGTGCCATGTAAACATACTGTATTTAATGTTATTTACCACATCACTCACTACTGCACCTGATACATGAGACCTATCCTACTGATGTAAATTAGCACAGAGACTGATTCTTTTCAACTTATAAGGTCTCTCTATGGCAATAAGCATGCTTTAAGACCTGCTCTTTTTAATAAACAATTTAATGAGAGAAAATACAAAGAGTGAATCATTGTTCTTCTCATGTGGAAAACAATACCTTTCTACCAACTTTACTGAATGTAGAGACTGAACAAGATAACAGGTATGAAATGCTTTGAAAACGTTTTGACAAATATTAGATGCTATTACTGTAACTATGCTTTATGTTCATGTGGCTAACGTAATACTTAGAGGTACAGGGTATTGGTAGTTCAAAGGACCAAAAGACTGAAGTGAGATTCTCAATATTTCATTAATTTTAATATTTAGTAAGTGCCTTCTAAATGTACGCACTGGAAATCTGAAGTGAATGAAGTGTCTTATATTTGTCATTAAGTTAAGTCCTTAAAGCACCTAGATAAGGAAATGAGGCTTGGAGGGGTTAAACAGCAGCCAGTGAAAGAACTGATGTTTCCATCCAGATTTTCTACACTCCATAGTTTCCCCTTTCCACCGTGCCGTCAAAATTGCTTATAGTCACAAATGCACTCAATACTGGCAAATCATGCCACCTCTGTGCTCTACATATACTTATTTATGTCTATATTATAGTAGTTATATATTTTTATATATTACATAATATATACAGGGTGTCCCAAAAATACGTGTATGTACTTTAACAGCTGCTAACTCAATTGTGAAAATAAAATGTATTTTAATAAACACTACCTTTATAATTATTCAAAGTGTGTGTATAGCCCTCGCTGGTTTGGCTGAGTGGATAGTGTCAGCCTGCGGACTGAAGGGTCCCTGGTTCAATTCCGGTCAAGGGCACATGCGGCTGGATCCCCAGTAGGGGGCTTGCAAGAGGCAGCTGATCAATGAATCTCTCACATCATTGATGTTTCTATCTCTCCCTCTCCCTTCCTCCCTGAAATCAATAAAAATACATTAAAAAAAAAAGTGTGTGTATACATTTTTTGGGACATCCTATATGTATATACATATATATGATAAGTATATTATATTACAAAGTAAAAACGAGAAATTGCCCTGTGCTCTATATTAAAGAAGACAGTACGTACATCTGTGCCGTAGATGAGGAAGTCACCAGTTAAGGCATGACATAAGATCCGGCACTTATCATCCACTGCTGGGAAGAGTCGAGTCTCACGCTCTTCTTGCGTATCCAAGAGTTCACTTTCTATCTAAAACAAAGAATAGCAGTGGCTCGTAGGGGAGGATCTTTTCCTTAGGTTCAGTTAAACATTCAGACTCAGCAGACTGCATAGGCCAGTTTACTCAGAAAGGCGACAGGCAGGAAGCACGGCTTACGAGCAGGGCAGCATTAGACCCCCCTCTTTAGCGGGAACACAGGCTCTGAAGTTGTCTGGTGGCTAAGCCCTGGCTTCCCAGAAGCAAAGAGCCAAGAACAGATGTGGCAGATGCCCTGGTTTGGAAGCCCCACATTCCAGGGCCAGTATCTCTTGGACAACTCAAGAGGCCTAGTTTCAAGGACCCCCACAAGCAACGTCCTAAATGTACGAGTCAGTGCACTCCAGGAGGCCCAGATGTGTGGCATTCCCATCAGCTTTTATAGTTCATTTACGGTTTCTCCATGCAGTTACCAACACGGTCATTTTTACCATAAGCACTGTTGGAAGCAGCACAGTTGATAAACTGGCGGGTTTCCGGCCAGAGCTAGAAAACTAACTGACCATCTCCTGCAGAAGGGTAAAGGTTTCTGTTAATCCTTTATCCACACCTGGCTTTCTAGCTAGTCTGTACAAGGTTGCTTCCTGACCGAAGTTTTTAATAAGACACTAAGTTAACTGAGCAGGCCTCCAGGACCTCAAAGTTATACTTACCAAGTGTAACTGGACTTTGCCTTCAAAAAGAGCAGCAGCGTAGTCTGAATGAAGGCAAACACTGGCTACTGTCCCCAGATACTCCACATCTTTCAATTTTTTCACACCTGTAGCAATTAAAACACATTAAAATATGAATAAAATAAATAAAGATTTGCAAATAATGTTAACCTTTGCAAGGATATTCTGAGCCTAAAATTTTTATTTTGGCCATGCTAAAGGAAATAGTTGCCATATAAATTTGCCTTCCAGAATTCTATAATGGTTCCCATGAAACAGAGTAATCGAAAATAAAATCACATGCAAAACAAATATTAAACCTTAGTGACAATAAGCTTAATGGTGTATTCTATCTGAGAATAATTCTCAGGCTTGTTCTATTGCTGAGGGATATCTGCCCTCCAGTGAGGGAAGGGACTGGATAGGGTGGGGAAAGAAGGAGGGGGAAAGCAAGGCTCCCTTCAGATGCTAATAGTCATTATCCAAACAATAAAATCAGGGAGGAAACCAGCTTTTGTTAAGTACCTACCAGAGCAAGGAGTACTTAAGAAAGTCATTGTGCAAAGGTAGATACCACTTATTTATTTATTGTGAATCCTTATCTGAGGATATTTTTCCCATTGACTTTTAGAGAGAGTGGAAGGAAGGAAGGGAGGGAGGGAGGGAGGGAGGGAGAAACATCAATGTGAGAGACATGACCAGTTGCCTCCTGCACTCCCAGACAAGGCCGGAGAGCCTACGTGCCCTTGACCAGAATCAAGCCCGCAACCCTTCAGTACATGGGTAGAGGCTCTATCCACTGAGCCAAACTAGCTAGGTTACACTTTTTATTCAATTTTCCACATGACCCCTTATAAGGAGAGGAATTCTCATTCTCCAGATGAGTAGTAACTCAAGTCTCAGAGGGGTCTAGAACTTTGTCTGCAGTCATTTAGTTAAAAGAGGCAGAAGGGGAAGTTAAATCCAGAGCCTAATTCTAAAGGTCATACATACTCTATCCCTTATACCATGCTATCTTCACTACAAAGGTAAAGAGTAAAACCTTTCCCAAAATTATGCAAAATTTATAGAGGATTCACAAAACCTTTCAAACTAAGAAATAGATGTCTGAAGAAAAAGAAAAAAGAAAAACTTGATCTTTAAGGAAACTTTTTATTTTATTTATTTTTTACAGACAGGAAGGGAGAGGGATAGAGAGTTAGAAACATCAATGAGAGAGAAACATCAATCAGCTGCCTCCTGCACACCCCATACTGGGGATGTGCCCACAACCAAGGTACATGCCCTTGACTGGAATTGAACCTGGGACCCTTCAGTCCACAGGCCAATGCTCTATCCACTGACCCAAACCGGTCAGGGCTTTAAGGAAACTTTTGATGCGTAATTGTACCCCACACACCAGGCCGTCTGCTCATCTCCACAAGTTAGATCTTCTGCTTTTCCCTTAACAAAGCTATATTAACCAACAAAGCTATGTTAATATATCAGTTCCCTTGTAGTCATAGGATGCTTAAGGTTTAGACCAGTGGTTGGCAAACTCATTAGTCAACAGAGCCAAATATCAACAGTACGATTGAAATTTCTTTTGAGAGCCAAATTTTTAAAACTTAAACTATATAGGTAGGTACATTGTTATTAACTTAGTTAGGGTACTCCTAAGGCTTAGGAAGAGCCACATTTAAGGGGCCAAAGAGCCGCATGTGACTCATGAGCTGCAGTTTGCCGACCAAGGGTTTAGACTGTGGGACTCAGGGAGACTGCCATGGTTCCTGGGTCAAACAACATTTTGGGAAAACTATAGATAACATCTCAATTCAGTGTATATGATGCTTCACAGAAAGTAATGGTCACAGGACAATAATTTATGAGCTCACTTTGCAAAAAACAAGACCACCCCTGATGCATGTGACCTTCTGATAGTGCCTTAGAATCTACTCGGAGACGTTATCAAGAGACCAGAAGATCTAAGGAATTTTCCTTAACTCTAGCCCTCCCCCTCTCCAACTCCCCTTCTCCAGCTTAAAAATCTTTAACCTAGTCCACCAGGTAAGATAGAGTTGAGGCATTGATAAGTCTCCCATCTTCTTGATTGGCACCTTCTCGATCAATAAATCATTCCTTACACCAAACTGACATTTTGATTTTGGCCTTTCGAAGTGTAGGGCACGTGACCCAGAGTTTGATAACAAATACTTTCCAAATCAGATCAGAAACTATATGGTAGATAAGAAAACAACTGGATTTAGACTTGCCATTCTCTCCAAGGACATAAAACCAAGCTCGATTATTCATTCCCACAGCCAGATGATAAAGTCCTACTGCTACAAAGTTGGGTTCCACATCCACAGAAACTGTGATCGGTAGCTCCTATAATATAGAAACATAACTAGTAAATGAGCTGCTATTACTGCTTTGATTTTATTTATAAAATAAAAATAAGAGCATTTTCATACTCCTTCAACAGGGTTGGCTACAGTGACTTCAAGGAGGGAGGTGAGATATGCAATCCTTGTGCTGCAGGCATCACCAAGTATGGGAAGCTTGGTCAGGAAAACATGGAGTGAGCCCCTTTGGGTAGACAACGCCAGCAACTGGCCATCATCAGTCCAGGACAAGGTACTCAACCCTGAAATAATTGATAAAACAAAGAATTATTAAAAAACAAATATACTGTTGCAGGCAAAAAAACAAATATTATCGCTTAAGCTTCCCGAGGCATAAAAATCTCCAAATGTTTTAAAAGTTTAAGGTCTTTATTTAGATGTGTGGATTGACATATGAACACAAGCACTAACTCATTCAATACTGGCTTAAAGGGAAAATGTATAATAATTTAGGTTTTCCAATTGGAATTGGGATAAAATGCACTATATATCTTTGGATCAAAGTGGACTTATATCATTCCAGTAAAGGAGTATGACTCAAAGTAATTACTAAAATAAGGAGGCTATTTTAGGGAACTCTAGTGAAGGGTGCTAATTGTATTCCTCTTACAAAAACAAACACAATACACTATAACTGGAATGATAAAATGTCCATCTGCTTCAAAAGAATTAATACCTTTAATTTCATCATCCAGGTTGATTATAGCATACATGTCTTTTAATTCTGCCAAGCCATGGATTTTAATGCTGAAAAATAAAAAAATTTAAACACAAGCTCTAAGTTAAATGGTTTTTGTTCATGAACAATTACAAGCTATACATGTTTATTATAGTCTATTTATAATCAACATTTAGACCACTTCAAGCAGAATGCAGAAATCTTACCACATATAGGAACTTACTTTTCCCCTTTATATTGTAGTTGTCATATGTATTGCATCTTCATGCAATGAACACATGATCAGACAATATTGTAATACTTGCTTTCTGTAACCACATATACATTCAAGATTTCGAAATTTAAAAATAGCCTATTATATCTACTCAGCTATTTACTATTTCTCTTGCTCTTCCTTCATTCTTGATGTCCCAAATTTCCTTCAGTCATCTGTTCTCTCCTACCTGAAGAACTTCTTAAGCAATTCTTTTTTTAAAAAAATATTTTTTATTGATTTCAGAGAGAGGAAGGGAGAAGAGATAGAAACATCAATGATGAGAGAGAATCATTGATCGGCCACCTCCTGCTTGGCCCTACTGGGGATCGAGCTCGCAACCTGAGCATGTGCCCGGGACCCTCCAGTCCTCAGGCTGATGCTCTATCCACTGAGCCAAACCAGCTAGGGCCATCTGAGAATGTTTTTATTTCTCCTTTCCTACTGATGGATATTTTCGCTGGATATAGAATTTCAGTTGATAGTTCTTTTCTTTTAGCACTTTAATAATGTTGTGATGCTTCCTTCTGTCATCTATGGTTTATGATGAAAAAATCCACCGTCATTCAAAATGTTGTTCACTGGCAGCTTTCAAGATTTTTTTCTTCATCTTGGTTTTTAGCAGTTTGTTTATGATGTATCTGGGACTAGATTTCTTTGGATTTATCCTTTTGGGGATTTGCTGAGCTTCTATAATACATAGGTTTATGTCTTTTGCGAAATAGAGACATTTCCAGACATTATTTCTAAGACTTTTATGGCACAAATGTTAGACCTTTTGGTACTATTTCATAGGTCTCTGAGCTCGGTTCATTTTTCCCAACCTATTTTTCCTCTGTGTTGAGATTAGATATTTCTATTGGTCTATCCTCGAGTTCACTGACTCTTTACTCTGTGATTTCCATCTCCTTTTAAGCACACTGCATTAATTATATCTTTCAGTTCTTAACTTTCCATTTGGGTCTTCTTTTTTTAAAAATATTTTATTGATTTTTTACAGAGAGAAAGGGAGAGGGTTAGAGAGTTAGAAACATGGATGAGAGAGAAACATCAGTCAGCTGCCTCCTGCACGCCCCCCACTGGGGATGTGCCTGCAACCAAGGCACATGCCCTTGACCGGAATCAAACCGGGGACCCTTCAGTCCACAGGCCGACGCTCTCTCCAAACCGGTCAGGGCTGGGTCTTCTTTATAGGTTCTATTTCTTTTCTGAAACTGTTTCCATTTGTTTTGCAAATGCTAGCCCTTACCTCTTAAGACATTTTTATAACAACTGTTATCTTCATCCTCTTGGCCCTGGCTTCTTTGGATTGCCTTTTCACAAGTGAGTTGAAATTTTCCCGATTCTTCATTATGTCAAGTAATTGTGGGTTATATTCTGGACATTTTGAATATTATGTTATGAGATTCTATGATTGTTTAAATCCCATGGAGAGAGTTAACCACCCCCCCACCCCCGCCTTTTTTTTTTTTTAAAGCAGGCAATCAACCCAAATGGGTTAAGGCCCCAAGTTTAAATGAGCCTTCTGGGTTATGGTTTCAATGTCAGTTCCATTTTCAAAGCCTTTGCAGTGGTATTTGGATATGTCCCTATATGGTCCATTCAGGTGCCACTATAGGACTTGGGCTATGATCTATCCCTTAGTTCAGTTCTCAAAGTCTTTGGTATATTTAGGGTGAGATACATATACACTGCTCAGGGTAAATCTGGGAGTTCATAAATAACTTTATAGGGTTATTTTCCAGAACTCCTCCCTCTCCGGGATCTACCTGGTATTTTTCCAGCTTCATGAAGGCTCCCCTTTTTGGTCCTCCAGCTGGAAGCTGGGGCTCTAGTTACCATATTCTGCCTTGTATTTCCCACAACTGCACCTGCACCTGTGGCCAAGCAAGGAGAGGACAGAAAGAAAATTAAGCAACATGGGTTTGCCCCACCTTCTTGGCACCATAGCTCCCCCAATTGGAGAGGAAGGTTACCCTCTCAGTTGCTGCCACTGCCATGGTGAGATTGCTTGATTGCTGGGCATGAGAAAACAAAGAACAAGAAAGAAAACTGGGGGATTTCCCCACCTCTCTCTGAGTGTTAGGAGTTCTCTTTCCTGCAACTTGAGCCAGCACTAGAGAGAGCTTCTCTCAGAGCTCCTCTGTCTATGCTCTGTGCCTACTTATGAGTTTCAGGCTGCCTTGAATCCTGAGACTGGGAGACAAATGGGAGACTCATCACTGGTTCAGCTGTACTTCAAATTCTGGTATTCTTCGTCAATCTGCCTGCTACTATTTACTTTCAGAGTCCTTAAATAGCTGTTCTCTGCATTCTGTTGAGGTTTTATAGCCGTATTCAGTGACAGAGATGGGGTGGAGCTTATTCCATGTTACCTAGAACTTCCTATTTTATTTTTAAGACTGATTTTCAAGCATACTCCATGTTAGGTTTTATATTTAGTATATATTTAGCATTTTAGGTTTTGCTGTGAGTGTTAAAGATAGAGGTAAAGGAGTCTTAGAAATTTCCATTGCAAACATGTCCTAAGAGTGAAAAATAGTATGGTTGACAGATTTATTTTGGCTACCAAAGTCTTGCTGAGTCTCTTGTATATTTCCTATATAAGCTTTCCTGGGAACTTGTAAATATAACTTACCAGTTATCACCACATGTAGCAGCTTTGTTAAGGGTCTGTGATATTGCAATACTGGTTAGATTATCTTTATAATCATAAGCTTGAAATATCTCTAGACCAATCTCTTGAACATGAGTGGAAATGACCACAAAAATTCCATATGAAAAACCAACCATGATGTAGCCATCACCATACCTATAGCAACAAAGGCAATAAATCAATAAAAAGGGAGATTAACTATCATTGAAAATACAATGCAAAAACAAGTACCTTAAAACAAAGGAATTAGAGAATATAATTTATCAAAGGCCTATGTGCCAGATAATATATGCTAGGTAGTTTCACATACTAAATCATAGTCTATAATCTAGAAAATGTTATATTAAGAAGTGAAATTTAGCCGTAACCGGTTTGGCTCAGTGGATAGAGCATCGGCCTGTGGACTGAAAGGTCCCAGGTTCGATTCCGGTCAAGGGCATGTACCTTAGTTGTGGACACATCCCCAGTAGGGGGTGTACAGGAGGCAGCTGATAGATGTTTCTAACTCTCTATCCCTCTCCCTCCCTCTCTGTAAAAAATCAATAAAATATATTTAAAAAAGAAAAAAAAAGAAAAAAAGAAGTGAAATTTATATAACCAGAATTTAAATACAATAAAGAAAAACATAAATTTCTATGAGGAACTTTCTGTACATACCAACTATAGCAGACAATGTTGCCATAGCTCTGCTTAAATTCCAGATCAATTGAGTTATATGGTTGATTCAAATTAAAAAGAAACAAAGATCTCTTGCCAAGCACCACACTTATCTGCCAGAGAAGATTAAGAGATTGTGAAATGAATTACTCAGCACTTCATGAAAAGACCAATAAGCAAATTCAAACAGATGAACATAATTTATGAAAATAAGCCAAATTTAGATGTGTTAAATATTGTAATTAGTAAGTGAACAATGTAACTAAAAAAAGAAATTTTATTAATATACAGTCCAGGAAGATTCCTTGGCTTTATACATATCTAATATACCCTTTGAAGTATAATAAATAGCTAGTTAGAGTAATTTTTAAAATTCTCTATACCTCTCGTTAGGATACCATGCAATATAGGAGTGTAAGTCTGATATAGTTCCATTGAAATGGAATTCATATTCGGAATATAGAATCTTCCATCATAAAATGTCATTCTTATTTTGAGTCATCTGGAATGATAGGTCCACACCCATGTGAATATTCTAGATTGGCTTTGCTACCATCACTCTTTCCATCGCCTGTAGGTCACTGGTCAATGTGGCTAGACTAGTGTCCCTCTGTTACAGAAGTCCATACTTAACTGCCATTCTCAGTGGAGGGTGTAATTGTGTTGGGCAGGTAAAGAGTATATTATTTAATTGGGCTCATTAAGGGTGATTAACATCTTTACATATATATATGTATATATATAAAATGAGAGACACATTTTTATATATTTTTTTGATTCTACAATGTAAGCAATTATAAGTCACTACCAATTTAATAATAGCTTTTAAAGAAATGGAAACATTACTTCATTTAAATATAGACATATTGATTGTAAAAACTGTCTAGATTTCAGGATATTAAAATGTTACAGGAAGGCTGCGACAGCCCTTGTGAGGCTGTGTGAGAGGCTGTGTGAGGCTACGACAGCCCCTGCGAGGCTGCGACGGCTCCTGGGAAGCCGGCGGAACCACGCAAGCCGCACAGATGGCTTCATCAACGGCCCGCGAACCAGCTCGCAGACCCACGCACAACTATCACCCCAAGGGCGAGAGGGGCGAGAGCAGCTGTAGTGTTGCTTTCTTCTCAGTTTTGGTAGCGAAATCCGCATTTTAAACATAAGAGGATACATTACAGTGAGGCCTTGACTTAAGAGTTTAATTTGTTCAGTGACGGAGCTCGTAACTCAAAATACTCGTTTGTCAAATCTTAAAGTGAACGAGTGAGACACGTGATGCTGGGCTGATGTTGTGGCGTTCACTGTGACGTTGCTGCGCCAACTAGCGGTGGGGTATCTGAAGCTGGCTTGTAACCCGAATTTTAGCTCGCAACTCAGAGACGGCTCGTATCTTGAAAAACTCGTTAGTCGGGACAGTCGTAAGTCAAGGCCCCACTGTATTTTAAAAAGCCATTACGTGGCTCCACACCCTTTCTGAGTAGAGCGTGAACAGGTCGTGAGAGACCTTTCCGAGCACAGGGACACGTTGCGGATGGAAACAGCTACATTTTCCATGTGTATGACCTTTGACCCGGCGATAAAAAGCGTACACCTATGGATGAGGACAGTAGGGGGGGAAGGACAGAGGGTGGGGTGGGAACTGGGTGGAGGGGAGCTATTAGGGGAAAAAAGGGGAACAACTGTAATAATCTGAACAATAAAGATTTATTTTATTTTATTATTTATTTATTTATTTATTTATTTATTTCTTGGGTGTGAGTGTGGTTGCCCAGGTCTCCATGACGCCACAGGTAGGAATGGAGGAACGCACCCACCCCCTGCTTCTCTCCCCCCCTCCCCAGTCCTGGTAAATAAAGATTTATTTTAAAAACATGTTACAGGAAAATAAATCTCTAAGATATTAAAAAAAAGCAACTACAATTTCCAGAGCTCTGGTCACATCTGGTAGTAAAAATAAAAAATCATATAGAAATCAATACATCAATTTATAAAAGTACCCCCACTTTTTTTTTGTTACCATACCAACTGTAATAGGAAGATGGCTTCATTTGCTGTAATGTGAGGTGGTCAGCAGCAGAAAAACAACTTTTAGGTCTGGGAAACCGGGGCCTACCATTGGTTTCATATGTGACAGACCATAATTTATTTATCATGATAGGTTCTGAGCCATCCTAGAAAAGGAGAGAGTATATTCTACAAAATTACTAGCAAAATTTGGGCATGCATTTGATTTAAAATTCTTACTAAGGTTCCAGCAGTAGAAGTTCGGTCATCGTTCCTCGTTGTGGAAAACTGCATGTTGCTAGGCTCTGATTTCAATGGTGACTGCAGGGATGAAAATATTATCACTAAAAATGAACCCAACACTCAAAGTCACTCTGAATTATAATAAAACAGGTTCCTTGCTTTAATTTCTGTTATATGTTGGACTGATAACCTTAAATTCCCACTGCTACAAACATCTACAAATCCTAGATAAAAATAGCTATCTCATTAAATGTATAGAGAAGCGTGAAAGAAGGTAAGGAAAATTTCCAAGGACCGTAAGTAAAGAGCAACTGAAAACCAAAGCGTGTGTAGAAACCGAGGCTGCAGCTACCAGAGCAGCTGGTACAAGGAGACAATAAGGAAGTGCATTTGACTTGGGCTGTGCTTTCGGTTAGAAAAAAAGTTGAAAAAGTTCTATTCTAACCAAAGACTTTACCTCCTATCCTCATTCTGGTCTGAGATTCAAATTTATACTTGAGTGGTCTAGAAACTCTCTGCAGTGTTATGGAAAAAGCTAATCTGAAGCCTCTTCCAATGCTGCAAAAATTTTCCACAGAAAATCACTGAGAATATGAGCTCATAATTCAAAATGAGGAAAGATGTACTATTCACAAAGAAACAATTAAGAGCAAGAGTAAGCAGATCTAAAAATAATAGAATTATCAGAGAGAGAGAGAGAGATCATAAAATAAATACTTTAAGATTAACTAAAGACATAAAATGACTCCTAAGTATGAGAAAAAACTTTAAAAAAAATCGACAGATTTTTACAAGAACCACAAAGTACTTTCCAAAAATAAAAAGGATAGAGTCATTTAAATAAAAACTCAATGGGATAGACAGAGATCAAACAAATTTGAAGAAATAATAAGTAAGCTGATTTGAAGTATTATCCAGATTACACAAAATGACAAAAGAAACTATAAAAGCAAAATTAAGAGATATGAGAAGGTCCAACATACATCTAACGGACACTCCAGAAGGACAGAACAGAAAGGGCAAGAGGTAATGTTCAGAGAGATAATGATAATGACTAAGAATCTTCCAGAGTTGATGAAAGACAGCAATCTTCAGATCCAGGAAGCAAGACAGTAACTCAGCAGGATACATAAAAATAAATCCACACAGACCCAGAGTGATCTGCAGAATAGTCAAAAGTCAAAACCATTCAGAAACCATACCAAATAAAGCAATGCCTTTGATGTATGTTTTGCTTACCACAGGACAACTTAAGTAGTATGTCTAATTCTGGAAGCATACTTCTTAGCAATTAGAAATGGGAAGTTATCATCTTATATGTAAACTAGAGGCCCAGCCAGTGCACAAATTCGTGCACCAGGGGTGTTCCTCTGCCTGGCCTGTGGGATGGGGCTGAAACCTGCTCTCCAACATCCCCCAAGGGGTCCTGGATTGCGAGAGGGCGCAGGTCAGGCTGAGGGACCCCACTGGTGCGTGATCGGAGCCAGGGAGAGATGTAGGAGGTTGGTCAGCCGGGAAGGGACCACAGGAGGGCTCCAGGGCGTGTCCAGCCCGTCTCTCTCAGTCCCCGCTGGCCCGAATGGCAGGACCCCAGCAGCAAGCGACTGGTCGACCGGTTGACTGTCTGCCCCCTGGTGGTCAGTGCATGTCATAGCTAGTGGTTGAGTGGCCTTAGCATATCATTAGCATGTTATGCTTTGACTGGTTGACTGGACAACTGGACAACCAGACACTTAGCATATTAGGCTTTTATTATATAGGATAACAACTAACTGGCAGTGTCTTCCTGGGATGTTCTATGGAAAAATATTGTAAGGCCATGTCTTGATTCAGTGAGGAGTGGGGAAGCCAGAGTCTACTGATGATGTCTAACATGAATATCAGGATGGGGAGCTCAAGTATTTGTACTATGTATCTACTATTCTAGTTAGCTGAAAGTAGAATTATCAGAACCACTTGAATCATACTATGGTTCTGACCAACATGGTTGAGTTACTTACTTCAGTCTAACTTTCAAAACTTTCCAGATATGGGATTCAACTTCTTCAAACTTATTTTCTGTAAATTTTCAATCTAAGTCTATACCTTCAGCCCAGCCAATTTTGAACAAGCCATAAACAAGCTATAAGTTTTTTCTCTCATCTTTGTCCATTCTATTTTGCTTGGGTTGAAAGACACACATTGCTAAATATCTTATGGTATCCACTAAAACAAGGTTTAGCAGGACTCTGAGGTCTCATTATGAACAATTATATTATAAGTATACATTTATAAAAGTTATTTCACAAATATACTGTCCTACTAACCACAGAGCTGACCTCCCATGCTAATACTAAACAACGTTAAAAAAAAGTCCTAATACGTAAAAATGCAGCTAATACATAAAAATAAAAGTTTCTGATGTTAAGAATATGAAGTTACTATATGCATATCTCATATAGAGATTTAAACATTTTATAGGTTAATTTGATAGACAAACATTATTTTAGGTAAGAACTTGAATATATCAGACCAAAGAGATGTTACAGTATTACCTGTTTTATTGTGTCACCTTCCTGATTACTAACTGTGATAAGTTTATCTTCGCCACCTAAAGCAAGCAGATTTTCTGTACTCCAACATCCACATGTGATTCTCTTAGTATGTTTTCCTGGAAAAGAGATGGTTTTTATACAAACACATGGATTTCTCAAGAAAAAAAAAAATTAAAAACAACTGTAATGTCAATCTGAAAGCTTAGGTAATGTCCCAAGGAATCTGAAACCTCATCAAATCAGTTGTATCTAACAAATCTTTTTTAAAACAGTTTATTACCAAGTTATAAATCAAGATAATGGTATATAAGGGCAATAGTGTTCTCCAACATTTTCTGTGAATATGAGCTGAGGCCCTAAAATGAAAAGACATTCTACCCTTTGACAAGTTTATTTATTCTATCACCGAACCTGAACAATAATGCCGTATGATAAGTAAATCCCAAAGCACTGAAGTTACCATTAAGATATCTAGCTTCATGGTGTGGCAGACCCTTGGCATTCAACATTCACAGCGTGGACTATTCATATATAACCAAAGAACACATAGTGATCTGTGATAATACTGAGGTGCAAATATGAATGCACCTTAGGGAGACTTGTGTTAAGATCACTTAGCTAGAGAGTGATATTAGATAACTACTAATGGCGGGATGCTTTTTTATTGAGCCTTCTAGCCAGTGCAAAAATCACATGCTTGACACTGTGGGCACTTATCAAAGGCCCTGGAATAAATACTCAAGAGCAGCAAGGTTAATGAAGTATACAGATTCTGAAGGCAGACTGCTGGGGTCCAACCCCAGCGGGTCCAGGGGTCCCCAAAGGTGTGGACGGAGTCGGCGAGTAAGGAATGACATGGAGACAGCGTTCAGTTGTTCAGCAGCCTAGCCAGGATCTCTAGCCAGGATCTCCAGCAAAGTTCTGGTCTGGATCTCCAGAGAGGTTCTGCTTCAGATCTCCAGCCAGGTTCTGTGTCCATGTTCTCTTGCTAGGTTCTCCAGCCAGGTTCTGTCCAGGTTCTCCAGCCAGGTTCAGTCACCAGGTTCTAGTCAGGTTCTCTTGCCCATTTCTGTAGTCAGGTTCAGTCCAGGATCTTTTGCCATGTTCTCTCCAGCGAAGTTCTTCTGTCTCTAGTTCTGTGTCGGTTCTGTCTTTTAAGTTCTGTCTTCTTACATCTGTATTTATACCAGTTGATTCAATCCTATCAATCTCTATTACAAAGGTTAGGGTGTTTCTTATCTCCATTCCAGGGAGTAAAGATTATGTAGCTTAAGCATGATTGTTCATAGTTAAAGTGATTAATTACCCGCCTGGCACTTAGTTAAGAGGTTTTTATTTCCTCCCTAACTTCAGGGGAAAATCCCTACCTGGGGAAACAACCTTTCTCAGAGAGGTGACCTTGGTTAAAACACATAGTGCCAAGAAGGTGAGCAAACATATTAAGAACAGTATGCCATATATGCCAGGTCCCTTGAAACAGCAAGCATGGACTGGCTCCCGGCAGCAGACGGCCTATATTTGAATAAGTGGCTCACCACCTACTGCGAAATCGTGGGTAAGTTACCTCACCTGTCTCTATTCCTTAGTCACACCATCTACAATCTGGGGATGATGGGAGGAGCTATCTCATAGGGCTGAGGATCAAACAAGTTACAGCACTTAGAAGAGTGTCAGGCATATAAGAAGTGCTATAGAAGTGTTAGCTATTTTAGCTGTTACTGAGAAGAGACCATGTTCCTTTTATTCTTTGTACCCCTTAGAGAACCTAATTCAGAACCTACGCAGACAGCAGATTGTAAATAAACAGTTCCAGAGCAGACCGTGAGCAGGAGGGTGCCTGGTGTGTTAGAGGGCAGTGTGGCTGGAGTAGAGGGAGGGAGGAGCAAAGAGCATGTTCAAGAGGCAGACACTGCAGAAACCAGGCCATGCAGGGTTTGGCTGGCCCTGTGAGGACCGTGGCTTTGACTGGGTGAGACGCAGAATGACTGGAGAGGTCTGAGCGGAAGGCTCACTCTGGATCCTTGGCTGAGAATAGTCTATAGCGGGGTTAGGGGTGAAGCAGAGAGACCAATGAAGAGACTGCAGAAATTCAGGTGGGAGATGTTCCAGGCCCTCACCACGATGTGGTAAGAAGAGGCTTCATTCTGGAGATATGTGAAAGTGGATTGTATAATTTTCTGGCAGGTTAGATATGGAGAGTATGAGAGAGAAGTCAAGGATAAGGCTAAGATTTGGCTTCAAGATCTAAAAGGAGGAAATAACCTTAATGATGAGAGGAAAAGCTGTGGGTCAAAATGATTTTGGAGATATTAAATGTGAAGTGTTTATTAGACCTCTTATCACAGATGTTGAGTACGCAGTGGATATATGAGTATAGAGTATGGAACAGATAAATAGGGGAGTTGTCAGGAGCAGACAGTATTCAAATCAGGAGACCAGAGCCCAAAAGTAAACATTCAGAGAAGAGACTGAGATATAGGATATGCTGCTGATCACAGATTAAGGGACTTGGGCGGGACACCAGAACTGGATAGCCAAAGACGTGGGCATTAGGAAGGAAAAAGGAGCACCTGAAGAGAAAGCTGCCAAAGACAACTTCTTTATACCCAAGAAAGGGTGAAGGAAATTTCTTGCTCCTTCCTTTTGCTTCCAGGGCTCAGAATTTAGATTAGCCTTAACATCTACAATAATAGTTAACACATTAACTAAGTTCTGGTACTTTACATGTATTAAACTCATTTAATTAACATTAGCTCATAGTTAATATATATGGTAACTCAAGTTTGAGCCATGTTATTGGCAGACTGGTACTATCGAAACTGTAGTAAATGAAATTTAAGTATATGAGAACTATGCAAAGTGAGAGCTGCTTGAATCTAGTCTAGTTCAAGGAAACAAATCAGTGTAAGAGAAGACAAGGTCACAGATATTTAGCTACTGTAACACGCTGAGAGATCATGCTACCATGGAGTAGCTATCTAAAATGCAGTGGCTTGGTTTTAGGAAAATAAGGTTTTTAAAAGGGAAAAAAGCAGAGCCACAAATCACAACCAATTCCGAAAGAGGCTATAGATTTAACCTAAGATATGTAATTATCCTGAATCTTTTCAGGCCCATTTAACATAGTTAATAAACAAGACGGAGAGCAGAATCCGTATTCATCTTAAATACTAAGATCACATATAGAATCATGTGTATATGACAAATACCTGACACAAAATAAGCACCTTTGACAAATTATTTTCTTAACTTCAAATGACAAAATAAGAAGTAGTATATACCTGCAGATGAAGTGAGATACAGAAAATGCCTAACTGAAGTATACTCGACTAATTTAAGAGTTATAAAAATTGATTTTTATAACTCAAAATTTTAGTTTAATTTTCAAATGGATCAATGGCATTACTGCTTAGCTGCAGCACTAAAAATATTAGTATTAGTATACATTCATGTGAAAATAATTTAAAAGGTTAAGTGCCCTTGGTTGAAAGGGACTTTCTCAATAGTACGCACTCTATGTCCAGAGCTTAATTCCTTCATTAGCAGTAAGTTATACTTTTTCTGGCTATTTGGATGTAATTAAGCCCACTGGTTTCACCATTTACCAGCATGTTACAATAATTGAAAAGAATGGATACTGTTTCCTCTTGTGTATTCAGAGGGCAGATGCTGAGTCACCAGGGGTTGAGAGAATCAGAGACTGAGCCAAAAGGGCCAAAGAACAAACACTCTCAGGCCATACACCTGTGATGGCGAACCTTTTGAGCTCGGCGTGTCAGCATTTTGAAAAACCCTAACTTAACTCTGGTGCCGTGTCACATATAGAAATTTTGATATTTGCAACCATAGTAAAACAAAGACTTATATTTTTGATATTTATTTTATATATTTAAATGCCATTTAACAAAGAAAAATCAACCAAAAAGAATGAGTTTGCATGTCACCTCTGACAGGCGTGTCATAGGTTCGCCATCACTGCCATACACCCGAGGCAAATATAACTCATAGTCCACACCTGGGTTAAACTGGTGTTTGCAGAGAACCAGGGGTCAGAATTAGGAATCTGGATTATCCCCGGTCCAAGCAGTCACCAAAGGTTTTAGTCCATCTACTAATGTGTTCATACCCATGTCCAGAGGTACAAAGTGGGAGAGAAATGGACAAATGGAAGCCATGTCATTAATGTGCTGGTGCCCAAAGACACAGGCTGACCTTGACCTTAGAGCAGTGGTTTTCAGCCTTCCTAATGCCGCGACCCTTTAATACAGTTCCTCATGTTGTGGTGACCCCCAACCATAAAATTATTTTCTTTCTTTTTCTATTTTATTTATTTATTTTTTTAATTAAATCTTTATTGTTCAGATTATTACATTTGTTCCTCTTTTTTCCCCCCATAACTCCCCTCCTCCCAGTTCCTGCCCCATCCTCCGCCCTCACTCCCCACCCACTGTCCTCATCCATAGGTGCACCATTTTTGTCCAGTCTCATCCCGCATCTCCCACACCCCTTTCCCCCCCAAGAATAGTCAGTCCATTCCCTTTCTATGTCCCTGATTCTATTATGATAACCAGATTATTTATTCACTTGATTCTTAGATTCACTTGTTGATAGATGCATGTTTGTTGTTCTAATTTGTATCTTTACCTTTTTCTTCCTCTTCCTCTTCTTAAAGGATACCTTTCAGCATTTCATATAATCCTGGTTTGGTGGTGATGAACTCCTTTAGCTTTTCCTTATCTGTGAAGCTCTTTATCTGACCTTCTGTTCTGAATGATAGCTTTGCTGGATAAAGTAATCTTGGTTGTAGATTCTTGATATTCATCACTTTGAATATTTCTTGCCACTCCCTTCTGGCCTGCAAAGTTTCTGTTGAGAAATCAGCTGACAGTCGTATGGGTAGTCCCTTGTAGGTAACTGAGTTTCTTTCTCTTGCTGCTTTTAAGATTCTCTCTTTGTCTTTTGCCCTTGGCATTTTAATTATGATGTGTCTTGGTGTGGTCCTCTTTGGATTGCTTTCGTTTGGGGTTCTCTGCGCTTCCTGGACCTGTAAGTCTATTTCTTTCACCAGGTGGGGGAAGTTTTCTGTCATTATTTCTTCAAATAGGTTTTCAATATCTTGCTCTCTCTCATCTCCTGGCACCCCTATAACTCTGATGTTGGTACGCTTGAAGCTGTCCCAGAGGCTCCTTACACTATCTTCGTATTTTCGGATTCTTTTTTCATTTTGCTTTTCCAGTTGGGTGTTTTTTGCTTCTTCGCATTTCAAATCTTTGCCTTGATTCTTGCGCTCCTCTGGTCTGCTGTTGGGAGTCTGTATAGTATTCGTTATTTCAGTCCGTGTATGCTTAATTTCTAGTTGGTTCTTTATCATAACATCGAGGGTCTCATTAGATTTCTTGAGGATCTCACTACATTTATCGGCGGCTTCTAGACAGTTCTTAAGAGACCTTAAAAGTGTGGTTCTGAACTCAATATCCTCCATTGACAGTTTTGTCCTGTTTCTTTGTCTCCGCATTTTTTATGCTTTCTTGGTGCACCCCCTAGTGGTCTTTGTGCGCAGTCTTGTTGTAGTTAAGCCTTGATTGTTGTCGGCAATAATGGGGGTGATTTGACCTCCAGGCTAACTGGCTATGGGAGTCAGCTGTGTCTGCAGTGGGAGAGCTTCTGTGCTGGATCTCTAGGGCGGTGCTAATCTAGTGTTTGCCTGAGGCTATCTGGCAAATGGCTCTGCGCAGGGCTTGGGCGGGGCGGGTCCCCGGGGATCTACAGGGCGGGCCGGAGCGAGCAGTTATGACTGCTCTCAGTCCCGTCCCCAGGGGCTCTGCCTCACAGAGTCCCAGCAACCGCTGCAAACCTCGGAGAGAAAGCTGCCCTCCAGTTCCGACAGAAGCCAGACAGTCCCGCCTCTCCCGTTTGAGTCCGGGTCCCTAGAGACTCGCCCGGATCTGGAGCTCAGAGTCTGAAACTCCCTCCCGATTGAAAACAACAACCGCGCCCCCTGCCTCCAGCCCGCTCTGCGCACTCCGCACCTCAGTATTTCACTTCAGCACTGCGCCTCCTCTGAGTCTGGGTATGATATTCTCTTTCCTCCTAGTTGTAGAATTTCCACTCAGCCAGCCTTCCTGTGGTTCTGGATGATGTCCGTTCCGTCTTTTAGTTGTTTTTGAAGTGGTTGTTCGAGGCAGCAATCTCCGGCGTTAACCTATGCCGCCATCTTGGTTTCCTCTAGGCCCATAAAATTATTTTTATTGCTACTTCATAACTGTAATTTGGCTACTGTTATGAATCGTAATGTAAATATCTGATATGCAGGATGTATTTTCATGGTTACAAACTGAACATAATTAAAGCATAGTGATTAATCACAAAAACAATATGTAATTATATATGTGTTTCCAGATGGTCTTAGGCGACCCCTCTGAAAGGGTCGTTCGACCCCCAAAGGGGTTGTGACCCACAGGTTGAGAACCACTGCCTTAGAGTCACCTGTTCGATGTGGCCTGGGACACGTTTAGTGGTCAGTGAAGAAGGATCTTCTGATTAATTATCTCTAAGGGAGAACCAAGATGGCGGCATAGGTTAACGCCGGAGTTTGCTGCCTTGAACAACTACTTCAAAAGTGAAACTAAAAAACGGAACGGACATCACCCAGAACCACAGGAACGCTGGCTGAGTGGAAGTCCTACAACTAGGAGGAAAGAGAAATGCATACGGACACTCAGAAGAGGGGCAGTGCTGAAGTCAAATACTGAGGTGCGGAGTGCGCGGAGCGGGCTGGCGGCGGAGGGCGCGGTTGGCGTTTTCAATCGGGAGGGAGTTGCAGACTCTGAGCTCCAGATACAGGCGAGTCTTTAGGGACCCAGACTCAAACGGGAGAAGCGGGACTGTCTGGCTTTGGTCAGAGCGAGTGCAGCTTTCTCTCCGAGCTTTGCAGCGGGTGCTGGGACTCAGAGAGGCAGAGCCCCTGGGGACAGGACTGAGAGCCGCCATAACTGCTCTCTCCGGCCCACCCTGTTGATCCTGTGCGACCCGCCCCGCCCAAGCCCTGCACAGAGGCATTTGCCGGATAGCCTCAGGCAAACGCCAGATTAGCACCTCCCTAGAGGACAGAAGTTCTCTCACTGCAGACACAGCTGATTCTCATAGCCACTTGGCCTGGAGGTCAAACCCTCCCTGGTATTAGCTACAACAATCAAGGTTTAACTATAAGACTGCGCACAAAGACCACTAGGGGGTGCACCAAGGAAGCATAACAAAATGCGGAGACAAAGAAACAGGACAAAATTGTCAATGGAAGATATAGAGTTCAGAACCACACTTTTAAGGTCTCTCAAGAACTGTTTAGAAGCCGCCGATAAACTTAATGAGATCTACAAGAAAACTAATGAGACCCTCGATGTAATATTGGGGAACCAACTAGAAATTAAGCATACACGGACTGAAATAACGAATACTATACAGACTCCCGACAGCAGACCAGAGGAGCGCAAGAATCAAGTCAATGATTTGAAATGCGAGGAAGCAAAAAACACCCAACCGGAAAAGCAAAATGAAAAAAGAATCCAAAAATGCGAGGATAGTGTAAGGAGCCTCTGGGACAGCTTCAAGCGTACCAACATCAGAATTATAGGGGTGCCAGAAGATGAGAGAGAGCAAGACATTGAAAACCTATTTGAAGAAATAATGACAGAAAACTTCCCCCACCTGGTGAAAGAAATGGACTTACAGGTCCAAGAAGCGCGGAGAACCCCAAACAAAAGGAATCCAAAGAGGACCACACCAAGACACATCATAATTAAAATGCCAAGAGCAAAAGATAAAGAGAGAATCTTAAAAGCAGCAAGAGAAAGAAACTCAGTTACCTACAAGGGAATACCCATACGACTGTCAGCTGATTTCTCAACAGAAACTTTGCAGGCCAGAAGGGAGTGGCAAGAAATAGTCAAAGTGATGAATACCAAGAATCTACAACCAAGATTACTTTATCCAGCAAAGCTATCATTCAGAATTGAAGGTCAGATAAAGAGCTTCACAGATAAGGAAAAACTAAAGGAGTTCATCACCACCAAACCAGGATTATATGAAATGCTGAAAGGTATCCTTTAAGAAGAGGAAGAGGAAGAAAAAGGTAAAGATACAAATTATGAACAACAAATATGCATCTATCAACAAGTGAATCTAAGAATCAAGTGAATAAATAATCTGATGAACAGAATGAACTGGTGATTATAATAGAATCAGGGACATAGAAAGGGAATGGACTGACTATTCTTGGGGGGGAAAGGGGTGTGGGAGATGCGGGAAGAGACTGGACAAAAATGGTGCACCTATGGATGAGGACAGTGGGTGGGGAGTGAGGGCGGAGGGTGGGGCGGGAACTGGGAGGAGGGGAGTTATGGGGGGGCGGAAAAGAGGAACAAATGTAATAATCTGAACAATAAAGATTTAATTAAAAAAAAAAAAAAGAAGGATCTTCTAGTTTAGCTATATGTGAAGTTTGACAGGGGAGTCTTAATACTACAAAACATCCCTTGCAATATCAGGAAAATCAGAGGCAGTAAAATTTACACTTATGTAAAGCATCTCTAATATTTAACCGTGTTTCCAAATGTAACCTACCAATGATAGGAATCTTTCGAGATGTCTGACGATTATAAATAAGCAAATTTCCTTTAACAGTTCCAACAGCCAGGAAACTTCCAATTTTTGACCAAAGAAGGAAAGACATTTGATCCCTGTAACATTAAGATATAAATTACTAAACAATTCACAGACATAACCCCTAAGTAGTCCTTTTAAAATGTGTTCAGGTTTGAAGAGGTCAGTGGCGGGGGGGGGGGGGGGGGGGGGCACGGGGGGTGGGGAAGGAGGGGAGGGAAGGGAGGGTATTTGTAATACTTTCAACAATAGATGTACACCCAAATGTAAAAGGACAGAGTAAGGAATGAGGGTTCTTAGACCCAGCAAGACTTTACATGGGCAGGTGGTACCACCTGAAGATGCATGCCTTGTGGATCCCTTTGCAGGGCGTCAAGGGGAACTGCTAAGGTTGTGTTTGGTCCTGTTCTGCATGGCCACCTTGCTTTCTTTGCATTGTTATTCCTTGGAAAATAAACTGGGAATGTGTAGATTTATATTATGGTATATGGGCAATCTCTTCCTGCCCACCTGTGGGCCATATGATGCCACAAGGCATATATGACTTTTATACCCATTACACATAGATGAAGAAATTGAGGCTTACAGAGTGGCTAAGAAACTTATCCAAGGTCAAAACTGCAAAGGTTAAGTTGTAAATATTGACAAATTTTTCTTTTCCAATGAGAAAATGGTTTCTATTTTAGCAGAGATCTTGTAATTTATTCTGTCTGCCTAGGATTTTTTCCACTTGAGAACTGCCCACACCCTCACCCTATTCTTCATTTAGTGGAAGTATCAATCCGATGGCCCTGCCAACTCCACTCAGAGACCTTTTGAGAAACTGAGTGGACACGGGTGAGTTGATGGGAACATGCTCTTTTCTCTGGTGTAACTTGTTGCAAAGAATGATATAAGCCAATAGCTGCCAGTTGCTATGGACAGTGTCTGACTTAGACTGAACAAAATATAGAGCAAGGAAGAGCCAAGAGAGAGTCTTGAGCTCTGGCTGGGTAGCTCAGTTGGAGCATCATCCCATGTACCAACCAGAAAGATTGCGGGTTCCATTCCTGGTACGGGAGGCAACCGGTCGATGTTTCTCTCTTACATCAATGTTTCTCTCTTTCTCTCTCTCTTTCTCCTGAAACCAATAAAGACATATCCTTGGGTGAGGGTTAAAAAAAGAAAGAGTCTGGATTGCATCATCAGAACCCCTAGGTCCAGCCATGCCTGTAGCCAATCCCATTTCCCCAAATACACTTTAGTCTCATCTTTCAACTTCTTAATCTGTTTCATTAGAAACAACTTAAGAAGCTATTTATATTTCACAACGTAACTATTATATTCTAGTTAATGGGCAAAATCAATAGGACTACATATAACAAAAAAAAAAAGAAATGAACTTTTTTCTTTTATAAAAAAACTAGAGGCCCAACGCGCGAAATCGCACGAGACCCCAGACCCGCCAGGCTGCGGGACCCATCATTGCACCTCCTGGTGACCAGTCATTTGGTTGTTACGGCGTTACGGTAACTGGCTTTTTATAATATAGATAACTCCTTGATACATCTCTAATGAAAGCAGTAAGTAATGTTAGCATCAAACCTACAAGTAATCATATTTTTAAGTGAAGTTTTAAAAAAACCAAAGATCTGTCCTTACCTCATGCCACTTTCTAACTGGCTGGTTTTATTTGTGTTGGCATCCCATAGATAAATGCAATTAGATTTCTCAGCAACCACTGCTAGGATATCTCCGTCTTTATCCCAATCCATAGCAACACAATTACTTTGAAAAAAGAGAGCAAAACATCACTGTCCGTATTTTTAAAGTAGAGGAAAGACATTTAAATACTCACCTATTTGTGATTTTTGTCTACAAGACCATTCAAGTTATTTTAAATAGGTCATAAAATTTCTAGTGAGAAATACAACTCACTATTCACTGCTTGGATAAGACTAACTTAAACTTTTTGTTGTTGATAGGATGGAAAAATTTTAATTCTGTTTTAAATACCATTTTCATATACCATATTAAATATAATTATACCTAATAAGTTAACAGATTTCCTTGAATCCTCTAAAGAATCCGGCCCTTTGGTAAAACACACCCTACAAATGAATTCCAACTGGAATCAAGTGGTCATCTGAAAGGTTACTTTAGACTTACAGAGAGAAAAAGAAGGTACTTCATATGTAATGAAGTCATATTTAGATAAACTGCATGTAAAATAGTTGAAGGCCAGGTAGATGTAGTATTGCAAACAGTGGAAAGACTGAATTCTGAAGTGTTGGTTAAGAAATTTATTTTCATTTTATATCTTAATGGAATGAGAAGAGTGATTCAATTGAGATGACAAAATAGCTCTAAATAGGAAATGCTCTGTTTAACAGGTTTCTTACTATTCAAAATTATTCCCAATGTTTATTATAATTTAAACACTTCCTTGGGGATGGACCTTTCTTTCTTGATGCCAATTTTTCATTTTGATATTCTTTGTTCTTGCACAGATTTACATTGAAGATAGCTGGGGATTACGTCAGTTATTCTTCAAACTGTTAAAATGTTCTGGGACCTAAATGTTCTGTAGTAGTTTTAGAGATTTTGGAATATGAAAAGAGGAAAGCTTTCAAATTGCTGTTAAAATCATCTATCAATTAAAGACAAATATAAAGGCATTTTATTTATCTGGAGATCCTTTGTCAGTCAAGCTCAATTATAATTAATATAGCAAAAAAAATATTCAGAGGTAAAAAAATAAGGTCATTGTGTAACCAATATAGATGTTGCAGAGTTTATGTAATAAAGATCATACAATTTACTCAAAAGTTTTTTACTAAGTGCCTCCTTATTGTATTTTAGACATAATGATAACTACCTTGACCTCTTTCCCAGAATATAGAAACCAGAGGCCACAATGGAGAGCAACAGGAAATGCCAAAATGGTGGCCTCAGGTGGGTGGTGGCAGAGCAGGAATTGGAAAAGGCTGTTACGAGATTTGCAAAGGTGGTGGCAATCAACTACAGAAAGCAGCCGTGAACTATAAAAGCATGGCAGCATAAGAACATTTAGGTGAGAGTGACTACACACTTAATAACCACTGAGACTATCAGTAAAAATAACACAGGTAATGATTACACTGAATCATTAAAAATGCTTCAATTATGATTAGTGTGATCTAGAATTATTTCCTGAATCTATAATAAAAGTGTAATATGCTAATTAGACCAGACAGCCAAACGACCTTCCGGACGTCATTCCAGACGTCCTTCCAGATGAAGCCATGGTGGCGGGGGCTGAGACAGAGGCAGTTGGGGTGATCAGGCAGGCAGCAGAGTGGTTAGGGGCGATCAGGCAGGCGAATGGTTAGGGGTGATCACACAGGCAGGTGAGTGGTTACGGGGTGATCAGGGAGGCAGGCAGAGTGGTTAGGGGTGATCAGGCAGGCAGGCGAATCGTTAGGGGTGATCAGGCAGGCAGATGAGCAGTTAGGAGCCAGCAATCCTGGATTGTGAGAAGGTGCAGGCTGGGCTGAGGGATGCCCCCCCACCTCTGCATGGATTTCGTGCACTGGGCCTCTAGTAGAATAAAAGGGTAATATGCAAATCAACCGAACAGTGGAATGACCGGTCGCTATGACGTGCATTGACCACCAGGGGGCAGAAGCTCAATGCAGGAGCTGTCCCCTGGTGGTCAGTGAACTCCCAGAGGTGGAGTGTTGCTCAACCAGAAGCTGGGCTCACGGCTGGCAAGCGCAGTGGCAGTGGTGGGAGCCTCTCCTGCCTCCGTGGCAGCGCTAAGGATGTCCGACTGCTGGCAGTATAGATACAAGAAAGTCTTTGTCCTTTAAAAAGTATGTGAAAGTAACTATTTTTATTAGGCAGGAGATACTATAGTGATACAGGCACTTCTAAGGCATGTTTATAATTACATAAGAATTCTTTCATATGAAATCATTTCTAATCCTGCCTTTAAGCTTCTCTATGAATATATGGGTGTTTCTAAACTCTAACTCATATGCTATTTATCTACATATTTCATTAACTACTTACGATATTAAAAAAATACTCTGCAAATGGAGAAAGCAAAAGAGGAGATAGAGTTTATATATCTTATAAAATTCTATTTGATTGTGGCTTTAAGACAATACCTTTTTATCTTTTTAGGCAACACAGCTTGAAAAAGTTTTGGATCCAACTCTGTACTTACCCAGATAAGTTAATTTCACTTCTTTTTTGACCATGGCGATCAAAGATTCTTACAATATGGTCAGCTCTAAAAGCAATTAGAACACAAAAATATGACTTGAGTGTTTCTTTATCTCTCTATGCATGTAAAAGTTTAGGTGCCATAAAGTGCTTTCAATGTTCTCTCATCATAATTTCATAATTTGAATCTATAAAGTTATTACTGGGGAAAATGTTCCATGAACTCCGATGTTAATGGAGATGAAGATAGTACTCTTCCCACCATATAAACATCTCACAATAACTTCTACTGAATAGATGGGTGGTTATGTAGGCATACAACCTTTTGGAGTCAGGATGATTTTATAAATTCACTGATTTCTTACCCTGTTACTGCAAGGTAGTTTCCTGATGTTTTTTGCCAGGTAAACTGTATCGGTGCACCAAGCCAATTCTTTTCTAGCAACGAGAAAACACGCTAGAAAAAACACACACAAAACATATGATTAAGGGTTAGTCAGAAGACATGTCAAAATATGATCATGAAAACAGTAGGATTCAGGATGGTGAAGCCTTATGTTAGAGCTTATCCAAAAGAAGTCAACAGTAGAACAAACAAAACGATTAATCAACAAAAGAAAAAGGCTCACAATCTGGTTAAGTATGGACCTCAGTATATAGGGGAGCCCAGCAGGTGTGGCTCAGAGGTTGAGTGGCCACCCAGGTACTAAGAGGTCAGGGGTTTGATTCCCCGACAGGGCACATGCCCAGGGTTGTGGGTTCAATCCCCAGTAGGGGGCATGCAGGAGGCAGCCAATCTATAATGTTTCTCTCTCACTGCTGTTTCTATCTCTCTATCCCTCTCCTTTCCTCTCTATCAAAATCAATAAAAACATATTTAAAAAACATATAGGGGAGAGTTTATTGTAAAACTTATTTGCTTTGGAAAGTTTTGAATATTAACTTTATAAAAATGTATGTTTCATGTTTTATAGATGTTTAAGATTAAAAGAATGATATATTTCGTTCAAAATTATTTTCTTCCTTTACCCATCAGTTATATTTACTTCATCATTGTGTTTAGTTTGGCCTTTGGATGGACAATGTATAAGTTGAAAAATCATTCTTTTTTTTTTCACTTAGACAATCTAGAACTGTGGTTATGGAAGCCACAAACCACATGTGGACTTGAAATTTTATTGAGGAGTTGAAATGAGGGTAGACCAAATGTAATGTGCTGTAAATATAAAATGCATATTGGATTTTAAAGATTATGAAAAAGAATACAAACAATTTCATTGATAATATTTGTATTGATTACATGTTGAAATAATATTTTGGATCTACTGGATAAAATATACCATTACAATTAATTTTACCTGTTTTAAAAATATTTTAATGTAGCTACTAAAATTTTTAAAGTATATTGGCTCACACATTTATATCAAACAGTGCCCATCAGAACATCTAGGAACAGAGAACATGAATGAAAACATTTAGATTTTAACATTAGGTTAAATTACAGATTAAACAATGATGCCCATGTGTAGGCATATGCAGTTTACATACTATAGGTGGCTTAATATTCACAGTGATGATGCTTCCAATGCTCAAAATTAACCAGTTATCAATAGGTATTTTGTATGTTAAAGAGATGAAATCCATCTCAACTGAAAACAGAGGTGGGAAAAATCACAGGTATATCCAATTTTGTGGAGCATGAAGACATCTTTAAAGAAAAAAGAAGAGTATAAAAGCATCTTACTTTTGCAATTTTGTGACTACATTTCCCTGGAACCCCTTCCTGCTAGTGAACTTGAATTTCATTAGTTTCATTGGTAGACTTCCATGGGGTCGTACATACTTTTTTTCAACGGATCTATACAGATGCTCCGCATACAGTGCAGTGGAAACGGTGCGCACTTCACAACCGGAAAACCGAAACTTAAATGTTGCTTTTTACATTAGCTGTAGGGCTTAAAGTCGCTTAAACTGCCTCAAACAGAATTCTCAACTTTAAACCAGGAATAATATCTCCTCCCTTCAGATTCTTCATAACTGTGAAGAGCTTTAGAAATGTGAGTTATGATGACCGGTCTGTCAATTCCAATTTGCACACTAATAGTCACGAGGAAGCACACGGACGTATAAAATAACTTTGTAAGTGAGCTCTTCATCTCTTTGCCGGATCCGGCGGGGTGGGGCGGGTACTGCGGGAAAGCGGAAAGGTGCCGGAGCTGCGGCCAGGGACCCAGGAGTGGGGTCACCAGAAGCCCAAGCCTGGACACCGTGCCTGCAGAGAATGACGCTCTTGAGCGTCTACACCTGCGTGTGCAGATTTCTCCGTGAATTCTGTATTCTCGCCACCAGGTGATGTATCAATAGGACCAAATCACAGGCAATACGCTTAGAGATTACTCCTTCGGGGGCTCTTCACTCTGGTCAGTTGCACAGCTTGGCAGGGGTTTCGCTCCAAGAGATGAGGCAGCTCGTGACACGCGAACGAGTCCCTTTCATCACGACCCTGCAAACACAGTCCCACGACTCGTTCCTTCCGCGCAGCGAAGTTTGGGCTCTTCTGATCCAGCTGCTCATTTCCGGCCGGACCGAGACTCCCCTTCCTGCACCGCTTCAACTCCGGTAGCGACCCCAGAGATGAGAGGCCTCCCTCTCTGCTTTCTCCTCTATTTTCTTCCCTTTCCCCTCGCTCCTTCAACTGCGCCCCCATTCTCTCCCTCCCTGCCCGCCCCCTTCCCCACCCCACGCACTCGGAAGAGGGGGTGTCCCTATTCTCAAAGCCACGCTCCTCAGGCTGAGGGAAGGTCCGCTCTTCCCGCCCCCAGGGTTTGTAAGTTACTTACCTTCATCTCCAGACTGGCGCGGCCACGCGATTGCGCAGGCGCACCTGGTCTCCTCCAGGAAGGCTACCGCGTTCCCGTCACCCTGGAGACCAGGCGAGCAGTAGCCAATCAGCGAGCACCAGCTGAAGGGCGGTGCTCCGCGGAGGAGAGCGGGAGACGTGGACGGGATCACGTGACGCCAGGGTTGCAGGGCCCGGAGGAGTTGAGCGTCGCGAGACCTTTCAGCGCCGCGGTTTCCGGGTTAGGAGCTGATTGGGTGGGATCTGGAGACTCGCCCGGGGGAGGCGGGCTCTGTGAGCCCTGAGTAGATTTCGGCCGCCGACTCACATGAAGCCTGGGGCACCGCGAATGGCGCGGAATGCTAGGTGGGAGGGGGTGGGGATTGGCGGGGGCAGACACCCTTACACAGTCCATGTAAAGAGGGCTTGGGTGAGCGAGCCTAGGTGTCCCCCCCCCCCCCATGTTTCTGGGCTAGAAAGGATAAGATGGGAGAGGTAGTTTATTCCAAGGCCTTAATGGGCCAACTAAATGCGCCAGCGAAAGTGGGCGGGCAGAATGAGCCCTTATGAAACAGTTTAAGTGGCACAGAAAACCGGATTTAAAAAATACACGATCACATTGCCCGGCTCATAGGTGTGGCTCAGTGGTTGAGCGCCGACCTATGAACCAGGAGGTCACAGTTCATTCTGGTCCGGGCACGTGCTGGGTTGCGGGCTCCACCCCCAGTAGGGGGCGTGCAGGAGGCAGCCGATAGATGGTTCTCATGATTGATGTTTCTCTCCCTCTCCCTTCCTCTCTGAAAGAAATGAAAATATGTTTTTTTAAAAATACATGATCAATTGACAAAATTCCATACCCTTAAAAAGTCAACACACATTCATGATAAAACTAAACTAGGAGTGGAAAGTAACCTCTTTAAAGTGAGGAAGATCATCTGCAAAAAAAAATACCGCTAACATCGTACTTCATAGACTGAATGCCTTCCCCTAAGCCTGTGGGGAAAAAGTTCCCTGATCCATGAATGCGATCTATGTTCACATTGATTTTCTTTTTTTAATTTCTTTAAACAATTTTGTAATTTTCAGTGTCCAAAAATTTTATTTTGTTAAATTTATTCTTAATGTATTTTATTTTTGATGATATTATACATAGAATTTTTTAAAATTTCACTTTTAGACTGTTTATTTCTAGTGTAGAAAAATGGAATTGATTTTTGTATATTGATCTTGTACCCTGAAAACTTGCTCAACTCATTTTTTTTTTTTTTTTTTAGTGGATGTCTTAGAATTTTCTATGGTCAATTTTACTGGTTTCACTTACTCCTCTCCAATCTGGATGGTCTTGTTTCCTTTTCTTGGCTAGTGTGGACATCCTTTTAGGAATGCTAGAACCTATTGATAGGTTGTACGCATTGTTTCTTTTACTGTATTATAAAATTGCGCTGTTATCTTTTTATTTTTTAACATTCATTTTTACCTCAACTGTGATGAAAATTACATAATAGGGTCAATTTAATGTGTATTCAAGAAATTGGCTGAGAAACTTTTCAGACGTGGGAACATAACTTTTCTCAATAACCTAATAATTAAACAAAGCTGGCAGGTAATGGCCATTGCATATTTAACATTTAAATATGAGTATTGAGCATCACATTTGGATTTTTCAAATGATTTTACTTTTGTGCAATGCTTCATGTGTTTATATATTTATTGTGAAATATTACTCTCTTAAGTACTGCCTGGTGTAATAGCGAATTAAACTCCCAGTTTACACCCCGTTCATGGCATTCACTAGTTCTTTAACCTTTAGCCAATTTCCTCTGAATTTGTGTACCCAGATCTAAAGTGGGAATAATAGCCCTAGCTGGTTTAGGGAGAGCCTATTACAGATGCAACAGTGAATAAAATGTTAATTGCTTCAGGAGATACAAAAATATATCCAAGTATGTGCCCTTAAGGAACTAACATTCTTTGCCCATCTTTGTTTTATAGTCTATTATCATGTAAGATTTTAGTCTCCACACTGTTTTGCTCGGTGCCTTATTGATCAGAAAGTTTGAGGCAAATTAATTCTCAGTTAGATTAACTCACTTCCCCAGTCCTTGTCTGCAGTTTTGTTCCCGAGTCTCTGATACAGAATCAGACTTAGATAAGTAGGTCAGCTTTTGCCAGACTTACTACGTAGCATATTCTTTCTCTGAAGCTCTCACACAGCACAGCTATTCTCGTCACTAACAGAGACAGCTCTTTAAATGACAGCTTCTGTAACCTCAGTGTTGTCACGTCATCAATTACAGCAGTGGTTCTCAATCTTCCTAATGCCGCGACCCTTTAATACAGTTCCTCATGCTGTGATGACCCCCCAATTTCATTGTTACAAATTGATCATAATTAAAGCATAGTGATTAATCACAAAACAATATGTAATTAGATATGTGTTTTCCGATGGTCTTAGGTGAACCCTGTGAAAGGGTCGTTCGACCCCCAAAGAAGTCGCGACCCACAGGTTGAGAACCGCTGACTTACAGCATAACCCAATAGTCATTGAGCCATGTGTGCCTTCCCAACTTACAGTTCTTTTAAGGCACAAACATCACATAAATAATATTCATTCTCTAATATAAAGCTATCTTAAAATACTTCAATTAAATATAATTGTTTGTTACCCACAAAGAATTGTCATTAAATGGACCCAACTTCAGCCTGGGTATAGACAGAGGTCCCTGAACATGGTTCCTAAGCTTCCCTGACTTCACGTTCTAGATGCACGTCATTAGCTCAAAGGAAATAACTACTCAGGTCTGGGTCACATAGGGTGTCAGTCGAGGCTAGTCATACTAATATCCCTATCAATCAATACTGCATTTTTTTAAAATATATTTTATTGACTTTTTACAGAGAGAGGAGGGAAGAGGGATAAAGAGCTAGAAACACCGATGAGAGAGAAACATCGATTGGCTGCCTCCTGCACTCTCCCCACTGGGGTGTGCCTGCAACCAAGGTACATGCCCTTGACCGGAATCGAACCTGGGACCCTTCAGTCCGCAGGCCGATGCTCTATCCACTGAGCCAAACTGGTTAGGGCAATACTGCTTTTCTTTAAGAGATTTACAAAATGTCAGTGTTGTTCAGGCCCAGTAGATAAAAAAGAGATATACTTTATTAGGCCTTACAAATAAGGGCCTCTGATGGGATACTGGTGCACTCTTATAAAGATAAAGGTATTTGAGATCCAGAAGGATGAAATGCCAAAAGCAGGCTTAGACTTTTCATGGCATTTAATTTTTTTTACTCTAACTAAAAAATGAAATAGAATAAAAGCACTCCATATGAATTAATAATCTAGTCACAGTAACATTACCCATCATTTTACTGAATATTTGTTCCTGAGTAAGAGTTGAAATATTGGCAACAATTCCAAATAGTTTAGAGTTTATAAAAAAAAAAATATATCTTGACTTTCAGCAAACATTTATGGAGTGTTGTGTACCAGGTCTTGGGGAAGAGCTCCAAATCAAACTTGCCCCTTACGGTTTCCATTGTGTTTATCACTCTCTTTTTAGACTAGATTTAAGATCTAAAGAGACCTTCTGTCAGGCTTTTCAGTTTATTTAATTGCAAATCCCATTTTTAAAAATTGTCTTTGGTAAGGCTATAAATGCAGTTTTAATAATATATATATATATATAATGCTTACTGTTATGACATTTAAATAACAATTTGTAATGTACCTAATACAATTGTAAAATATCCATAAAATTTACCATAAGTGACGTTTACCATAAGTGACATTATACAACATATTCTCCATGTTGTATAACCATCACCACTAATTAGTTTCAGAATATTTTCATCACCCCAAAAGGGAACTCCTTACTCACTTAGTGGTCATTCTGCTTTGCCTCTTCCTCCTAGTTGTTCAGCACCACTTGTTGAAGAGACTGTTCTTTGTCCATTGAATGGTCTTGGTACCCTTGTTAGAATCAATTGACTATAGTGTATTTCTGGAGTTTCTATTGTATGCTATTGGCCTACGTGCTTATCCTTATGTCAGCACGATACTGTTTTGATTACTGTAGCTTTGTAACAAATTTTGAAATCAGGAAATGTGACTCTTCCAATTTCGTTCTTTTTCAAGATTGTTTTGGCTCTTTTGAGTCCCTTAAATTCCATATGAATTTTAGGATCAGCTTTTCCAATTTCTTTAAAAAAGTGGCCATTAGGTTTTTTGATAGGGATTGCACTGCTGTAGATTAATTTGGGGAGTATTGCCATCTTAACATCACAAACATGAGATGTCTTTCCATTCATTTATTTAGGTCTTCTTTAATTTTTTTCAGCAATGTTTTATACTTTTCAGTGTATAAGCCTTGCACCTCCTTGGTTGAATTTATTCCCAAGTATTTTGTTCTTTTTGATGCTATTGTAAATAAAATTTTCTTCTCAGAATTATTTTTTTGCCAGTGTATAAAAATCAACTGACATTTGTGTGTTCATTTTGTATCTTGCAAAGCATTACTGTATTAGTTCTCATAGTTTTATTTTTGTGTGTGGATTCTTGATGATTTTTAATATACAGGATCATAACTGCCAATGGAGATAGTTTTACTTCTTTCTTTCTAATTGGGGTTTCCTTGATTTTTCTTTCCTAATTGCTCTGGCTAGAACTTCTGGTACAATGTTGACCAACTAATGAAAGTGAGCATTTTTCTGATTGTAGAGGAGAAGCTTTCAATCTTTTACCATTTAGTATATTGCTGGGTGTTGGTTTTTCATGAATGCCTTTTTAAAAAATTGATTTTAGAGAGAGAGGAAGGAAGAGGGAGAAACACTGATGTGAGAGAGAAATGTCA